GTTAACCAAATATTCGTATTACCCGACTATTTGGTATTGATATAGAACTATTCGTATTAACTTCAAAAATATGCCAGGGATTCCAATATATATTTTTTTTTTGGAGTTCCTAAGAAATTAGTGTTATCCAACGTTCCGCGTTAACCGAGGTCATGTTAACGCGATATTACTTTATTATCAGTTCCAAACCAATAGAGTCGATAACTATTCAACATTAAACAGATTTAGTTTCGCTTGTACTAAAGTTGTGGCCTTTTATCGTGTAAGTTACGATTTATGACTCTTGTGCAATTTTAGTTATATTTTAAAATTTAAAAATGGAACTTTTGAAGTTATTTTGATGCAACTGAATAAATTTAATATAAAAAGTTCTGTTAGGTTCAAAATATATGGATGTTTTGTTTCTATATTATTAAATGATTTTAGCCAACTTGTTTGGGTATGCCATCGCCCTATTCTTGGAATTGCAATGCCGGAGAACAGATAAATTTAGATAGTTTAAATTTAGGGTGGGAAGTCACACTTATTTATTTGTATATTTGAAAACTAAATGCCGAGTAAGATTTCAGTTGTTAATGTATATTTTTTTCAAATGGTATGACTATATATAGCTTCATGGCTATATTTCTTGTTTTGAGTTTTAGACATCTTTTATATGCAATTACTCAATGATAATACTCGAAAGGTTACTGAATTATAAATAACATATTTAATAGTTGAAGATAATGTTTAAAATATTATAATTGAGTTACTTTTAAAAATGGGGGATATGGAAACCCCATGCCACGCCTTCTATTTGTTTCAGCTCAATTCAGCTCAGTAAAGCAATATTCAACTGACTTTTTGAATATTTTTTTAACGAAAATTCCAATCAAAGCATTGACTGATTTTCACATGTTTCAAGTTATGTAATTTTTCTTGATTTCTTTTTTCATTTGAAGAAGAAAAAAATAAATGAATTAACTATATTTATAATATGCAATAGTAAATTCTTAAGGAGAAAAATATCCTTTAATTTTAATAATATGGTAGACTGATTGGTTGTTATGATGCTTCGAAATTCAAAGTATGCCATTTCACATAAAGTAAAAAATCTTTAAAAACAAGGGGTTGATAACAGTACAAGATATAGGTAGTGTTCTTATGCTATTGAAAAGTAACTATCTCAATATCCAAAACCATACCATTCTCCATGGCCGGGGGAGAAGGCGGGGGATTTTTTGGCGCTTAAAGTCCCACCGGGCACCGGAATTCGAACTAAGTATTTAGTCTAAGTAATTATTTTTCTATTCAAACTTACGCATGGTGCTGTGTACACGCGTTATTCCGCCACCTTACTCCCATCATCATTTAAAGAGGACTTTTGATTGGATAAACTAAGCTAAGTTATGTTAAAAAAAAAAAAAAATCTGGCATTTAATTCTGGCAATAATCACCCACCCTCTCCTCTCACCTGGAAAAAAAACCTTTTAGCCTAAAATTCCATAGCTTATTGTGTATAGCAACTGTTGTACAGTATTGGGACCTTATTGCTCATATTAAGTCTTCCTATATCTGTACAGTTATGTAAATACTTCTTTTATCCCTTATTTTTTAGTTGTTTTTTTTTGTTTGTTTGTTTTTGTTTATTGTAATATACATTTTGGCCAGATGTAATGTTAATTTTATGTACAATATTGTTATTCTCAAGGGACGTAGTCCCAGAATAAAGTTGATTCTTCTATTCTATTCTATATACACTGACAGGCAAAAAATTCCACCCACTTGTAAAAAAAGTTGTATTTGTATATAATACATGCTATTTGTAGATAATACTTAGTATGTATGGAATTTTATAATCTTTTTTACCTTTAATAATCAAAATGTGGTTGGGTAAGAAAGATTAGAAGAAAAAAATTGAAAAACGAACTATTATTATTCTGAAAGAAATCAATTACATCATCGTTTAGTAGCGAGTGTTTCCTCCTCTTGCCTTCACTACTTCTTGAAGACGCCTCGGCATACTTTCCACCAGTCGGGAAATGTCCCTTTGCTGGAGGATAGCCCATTCCTCCCGAAGAGCCCTTTCAAGATCCTGCAGTGTATCAGGAAGTGTTGCACGCGCTCTTATTCGTCTTCCGAGCTTATCCCATAAATGCTCAATGGGGTTCAAATCTGCAGAACCTGCTGGCCAGGGTTAAACCTCAATATTGTTCTGTTGAAGGAACGTCTGCACTATGCAGGCGACATGTGGGCGTGCATTATCGTGCATTAGAATAGAACGATCGCCGATTTCGTTGAGGATAGGCAACACCTGAGGTTCCAAAATCTCATCTACATAGCGAATGGCCGTCAAAGACCCTCCACGAACAACAACCAATTCTGTGCGGCGCTCCATTGAAATCCCAGCCCACACCATTAAGGAACCACGTTGGAAAGGTTGGCTCTGGGAAAAATTACAGGCTGCATATCTTTCGTTTCTTCTTCTCCACACCCTTTCACGCCCGTCTGGAGATCGAAGAGCGAATCTTGACTCATCTGTAAAAAGTACAGCACTCCATTCGTCCATAGTCCAATGGCTGTGTTCTCGAGCAAAAGCCAGCCGTGTTACTCTGTGAGTTCTGGTCAACTCTGGTCCTCTTACTGGACGAAAAGCCATTAATCCATACTCATTTAATCTTCTCCGAGCGGTACGTTCAGAAATTTGCACACCTCGAACTTCTTCGAGCTGATGAATCGCTTGAACAACGGTAAGGTGACGGTTTCGTAAAATTCTCAAAGTCAAAAACCGGTCATCCCGTGGTTCTGTTACCCTAGGCCGTCCAGAACCGGGCCTTCTATTGTAAGAACCAGTTTCCCGAAAACGCCTGACGGCGTCTCGTAAAGTTTCTTATGGAACTCCGATGGCATTAGCTGCATATCTAATGGAACTTCCATCATCAATAAGTGGCACACCACGCGCAACATCCTCAGCACTAAGAGGCATTTTTAAACTTAATATTGAAAAAATTAAAAACCGGAGACTAAGAAATGTGCTGCAAGAATTAAGGATTAAGGGTTATTGTCCTCTATATTAACATTCCTAATTCAAAACAAACAAAAAGATTACCTATTTATTCATTAAAAACAATAGACCAATCAAAAACAGAAATATTTTTAGATGAAAACATGAAAAAATCAAGTGGGTGGAATTTTTTGCCTGTCAGTGTATGATATATATATGACGAATATCCAAAAAAGTCATTATTTTTAAATAAATTAAAAGTGTATATATGAACTTATGTTTATTATAATACATACCAAGTAATGAAAAGAAATTAAGCTTCGCAAAATTTATTGTAGTCATTTTGTGCTAAAAACACGGGTACCATTAAGTGACGTGATATCAAATCGCCTCATTTTTCTTCCCAGCTTGAGATTAATCTCAAGTTATTTTGAACTAAACCTCACCTTAATTCACATAATCGGGCTATTGTTCCTATAAACGTTTTTGTATCTCTCGAGGTCTAGAACCATCCCTTTAAATTTAGAATATTTCCCTATATTACGGACACTCCTCAGTAAATTGATTTTGTTAAAAACATCTATAGAAATATAATTTATAATTCTAGGACTACAAAGCTGATAAAATTAATAACTTTCTATTAAACTGTTGCTTTAATTTAATTTAATAAAAATCAGATTGTTTTATACAACAAGATTGAAATTAGTTCAAATTAATTAATTAATTAATATAATTTATCATTTATAATTATTTAAAACAAATTTAATTATTATTTTATTGCCAAGTGCACAGTATCATGTTAGAATGAAAGAAGTAATCGGAGGGTTGAACTCAATCATTCGAAATTACAGAAACATTTTTTATCTCATAAAAATATAAGAACGATTCATTTCCGTAAATATTAATTTTAAAAGCCATTCATCCTCTTGCAACGTGTTTTAAAGGATACAATCAATATTTTAAAGAGAAACATTTTAAAGATAATTTTTGTTTTTACATTTTTCAAATTTTAATTTACCAATGTGGAGAATTCAAACCACAATAAACAGTTAAAATTTCTTTGACTTAACTTTGATTTGATAGTAAAATCTCATATCATTTAATAAACGTTAATCAGTAATAAAAAATGAATTCTCTTTAGATGCATAAGCAAATTATAAAATTTGTATTAAAAAAAATAAATAAAAAAATATCGTTCGTTTTTTACTCCACTAAGGAAACTTTAATGATAAAATAGAATATAACGAAAGCTTATTGAAGAACTTTAAGTCCTGAATGTAATACTTCAAATAAGTTTGTGTAAAATATTTGTCCTACCTTTAGCATTGCTTTAGTTAGCCTTGAACACATCTGTCCTTTGTTGGTAATGACCTACTCAAGCTCTAGATTAATTTATTTATCGAGTCTATTCGTCCTGTAAAATATTAACTGTTTTATCAAAGTAATTGAGTGTCGGTATTGAGAGAATATTCATATTTACTTAAAACTATTAACGAAATACATTCTCTATAAATATGAATTATCATTATCTGCGCTCCACGTTAAAAACGAAAATTAATTCTCTTGATGGATCCACAAATCAAATTTTACTCACAACAACACGTTTCATTCAAGTTATTCAATGAAAATGAGGCACATGAACTAACGAAAAAGGTTTTTCTTCAATCAAACTATTGTTATAAAATAATTTAAATAGAATTTATATTAAAAATCAAAAAGTAAATAAGGCAGCGTTCTTACTATACGTTTACAACTACATAATATATGGTTGTGTCGGCTCGGTTCTGTGTCAACGTCAGGTGTAGTAAGCGTTCTAATTATATTTAGTATTTTGTGTAAAGAGCGTGGGGGTTGCGTTGAGGGGGTATCAGGCTGATGGCGGGAAGGAAAATCTAAATATAGAGGAACTGCTCACAACTCTGTCCCCAGTGGACATCTCGAGACGTTCCAAACACTTTCCCCGCTGAGCCAGCGGGCTTTCCAATACTATCATACTAATTCATGTTTTTATTGTTAGTGAATGAAACTAGCTCGGCTTTCGCTAGAGAGCGCGCCAACAAGCACGAGAAGAGCCGTTTCGACCATTTATCACCAAAGGTAAATAATAATAATTGTATCAATCGACAAAAAAAAGAGCTAACATTTAGTTTTAATGAATGATAAAATAACATTGCTGACGTTGTTTGAATATTATACATTTTATTGTTTCAGAATTCGGCTAGAGATGGAAAGTTGAAAAACTCGGATAATGCCCTGGTCCCCATAAAACGACCGAATGAAAATCAGCCAGGTAGAAACCTCGAAACATTTCGCCACGAATATCTAACACAGCCGAGAACAATTCGAAACAGGTCCAGTGTCGATTCGGTTCAAATACAACAAGAAGGTATAGTTTACTCCTGGATGGTGGACCATCAGGCTCAAAATGAACGTCTCATTTTTAGGAGAATGGGATTTCGTAGACGTGAACTGAACAGAAGTTTAGACGACGGTTTGGCTACAGAATCCCCAAGGAATTCATTCACTTCTTCGAGAAGTTCCGGTTCTAAAAAAGATCGAAGCAGCGGGATATTTTCCTTGTTTCAGTGGTTCAAGAAGCAAAAGAGCGAAGACAGTAGTGATTTAGAAGTATCTTCCGGTCTAAATTCGCCAGAACTTCCCAGATCTACATCAATAACAGGAAGTGTTGATACATTGTTTAGTACTGCCACTGCCAACAGTTTTGCGTTTGTGCATCCCCTACAATATAGACCATTCGGATTAGCGAATCAACCTGAAATTAGAATAGCTGTAGGACCCGAGACAAATACATATAGAAATCGAATCAGGGAGAGAGAAAGGTTGAGATATGTAGAAAAAAATATTTCACTTCGTGAAAAATATAGATTATATGCAAGTGGTACCCTACCTAGGAGTGCAGATCATATTAACGAATTGTCTGATTACCAAATATTAGATATTAAGAAATCATTTGACCAACTGCCGGGTAGTAAATATTCTACTCTTGGAAGAAAAAAGAGAAAGGCTCCTCCTCCTCCTACTATAAGTAACAGTTCAAACAGTGAAAATAGCCTGCCTGCAGCTGTAAATCAGCACTTTAGTGAAGGCATCTTAATAAAACAACATAGAAGAGCTTCTAGTGAACCTGTAAAATATATTAAGTTGTGTCATGTAAAGGGAAAAAGGAGAGCACCCCAACCTCCTGCTCGTGACAACAGCACAGACACAGACATTCTATCCTTGAGTACAACAAACACTAATAGTTCAAAAAGAAGTAAAAAGAAAAGAAGGGCTCCTTCTCCTCCAGTAAAAAAATCTGAATCGGATGATGAACATATACATATAGTCAATATCATCCGTGAAGCTACTGACAACATATTGGGTGATAAAAATTCAAATGAACAAAAAGAAGATTTGCGAGATGAAACAATTTCAAATGCTTCAACATTAGACATTGGTTCATCAGAAGATGTTATGTGCACTGATACACTGAAATTAGAAAGAGGGATATTGAAACAAAATATGGAAAAACCATTTTCAGAACCTAGAATATGCCCATCATCACCAGTATCTCCACGTCCATGGTATAAAAGAACTACTGTCAATAAAGAAATGGGCTCATCTAAGGAAAAGGAAAAGAAAAATGAAAGAGACCGAAAAAAGGTTGAAGAATGGATGCTAGAAAGTGGTTTTCCTAGAAGATCATTATTAAATACTGATAATAAGTACAATTTTTTTTCAAAAGCAGATAGATCAGATGAGAAAAGAAAGTCTCAAATATCAATACTTACAAACATCAGTGAACTAGATAGAGAAGCAGCTGAAATCATAAGAAGAGGAAAGGAAAAAGAAAAATCTTTAATGGAAAGTCAAAATGCAATGTACTTTAATGATAATGGTATTGTTAATGAAAATGAAATAATTACAAATAGTGTATCTGAAAAGGAAGAACCTCCAAGAAAAAATTCAGCAAAAGAACTCATATCATTGTTCAATGCCATTACAAATGTCACTAAAGTTACAGTTAATTCTTCTTTTTTTTCAAAAGATACAAGTAATTTGTTTTGTAAAGATAGAGAGAAGAGATCAGAAGTTTTAAATAGCAGTATTGTTATTGAAAAGGAACAAAGCTGTTCATCGAGCAGTTCTACCAGAGATAATGCTGCAAATGATGTCTTCGTTACCAAGGTAATGAGCAAAAATAATGTTAGTTTGCAAGAAAACGAAAAACCTGGAACATCATTTCCTATATCTAATTCCAGCAGTGAAGGAAAAATAGCAAGAGTTACAATCGATGAACTTGATGAATTTGATGCTGAAAGGAATTCTAAATCTCAAGTTTTATATGAAGCCAATCGACAAAATAGGCATCTCTCCCCACCAATTCCAACAATAACAGAAGTTTCAGAAGGTTCCGCAAAATCAAGTCCTACTTCAACGATAGGCAGTAGTAATACTAATAGTAATAATAGTGAATCAGCTCCTCAGCCTTCACCTGAACCTGCTCATATGAAACATATGCAGGTTTGGGTATGTCCAAGGTGTACATTAGAAAATCTTAGATGGAGAATTACCTGTGAAGCCTGTGATATGTGGAGGCCAAATCCCTTTGAACTAAGAGAGAGGTCAAAACAAAACAAAATACTAAACAATATCACAGAAAATAAGGATAAGTGTGAAACCGTGATAAAAACAGCACCAAGTCATTTATATCCTAATTTAGCCAAAATTACAACTGGAAATAAAGAAGAAAACATCTCAAATATACCTTTTAAGGGACCTACAAACAATCCAATTATTAATAAAAAAGAAATGCAAGATATTAATTTTTCTACAAATACTGACAAAGAAAAGGGTTTAGAACAAAAGAATAAGCAAGAAGTTGAAGTTGGAAGTAATGGATTAGAAAATAATCAAAGTAAAATAAACATAGAAGCAAAAGACCAGGAACAACAGCAAGCAGAAGAAATTCGAAAAGCACGATTAGCATTTTTTACCAAAGCAAATTCAGAAGGGAAACCAAGTTTGGAAAAATATATTTCAAATGAAAAAAATGATAAAATTCCAATCGCAAAGTTAGACCCAACTTCTGCAGCCAAATCAGACATAATTTCCACTGTTAAATTAGACTTAACCCCTGTTGTTAAAACTGAAAATATTCCTGCAGTAAAATCAAATAAACTTCCATTGGTAAAAGCTGAGACTGTTATAGATATGAAATCAAATACTCCCTCTATGGGAAAAACAGATACTAATCCCGTCATGACAAAGGATATAATTTCTATTTCAAAAGATATAAATAAATCACCAGTAGTGATTACTAATGATGATGAAGAAAAAAGAAAATTAAAAGAAATGTTAATTGAAATGAAGCACTCTCTGCCCAAAAGGCCAAAACCAATTAAGAAAACGGCTGAAGCAAATATATCTGAAAACAATATTGATAAGACAAGTAATTACTTAAATCCAATGCCAGTTACCAAAACCTCTGCATCTACTAGTATATATTCTAACATTATTCCAAACACCATTAAATCACATGAAAATGAAGCTGAAGCATATTTAGTTGAAAGTGAGTCCATCATTGAAGAAATCAAGATTAAAAAACCTTCTGAGAAAGTTTCATCCTCTGTGCAGACTAGTGGATTAGTTAAACAGATATGTCCAAAACAAAAAATGTCTTCTACCAAAGAAGTGCTAATACCTATCAAAGTTGAAGAACATTTAATAAAAGATGGAATACTCTACACATCTGTTTCTAAAGACAATAGGCGTATTGGTACAGGCACCTTTGAACTTTTAAGGCCAAGGGATTTTGCAAACATTGAGGCTATTAAAACTGAATCAAAATCAGCTGCAGTTCATCTTTATGCAAATATTGCCGATAATGAAGATGGTGATAAAAATCTTAAAACTGAAGAAGCACATCTCAATTCATCGGCATACATTGATAAATTGTCAAAACAACTTACTAAACCACAAGGAGTTGCACACTTCAAAGGTATTTACTAGTTTTGCAGTTATAAAGTGTTTTTTTAGAACAAACTTCAAGCGAGATTTTATGTTGTAGCTCGACTGGATATGAGCAATGATACGAATCTAAACACATTAGCTATAAACCGATTATTAAAAAGGCTTGAGGTAGCTATTGCTAGTGGTAACCATGAGCTTGCTGCTACTCTGGCTAGAGAACTTGCACAACTTAAAGTAAACTGTTCGGTTATAAGACAGAAACCTGAAACTTCTGGAAATGAAATTCTGTAAGTAATGGAAGAAATAATTTCTAATTTTCAGTTTACTAAAAAAAACTATAAAATTAAATAGCACTTAAAAATCATTGTAATTTTGATTTATAAGTAATTCAATAAACTATTTAATTTTCATCTTCTAAAATTTTTATTTGAAAAAATAAATTATTAGGTTAATTGAAAAATAACAGTGAAAAAGGGAACTTACAATACAGGGGTATCCATCACCGCCGAGGTCAATGGCGCATGAACCTCTCCTCCTCCTCTCAAGATATTTTACAGCTCTCCTTTTCCTGAAAAAAAGCCCAAAAGAAATTAGAATTAGAAAAATCGTAGATCATATACAATTACACTTTTTTTTTTTGGTCCTCTCTTTTTTCTCCTTATAGGCAATGCGGAGATTTCCCCGGCCAAGAGGTAAAGACAGCTAGAGTTAAAATCCTCCCGTGCACTGAGACAGAAAATCATACTTATTTTATCAATTTATATTATCATTCAGATTGCTGGGCAACCATGGTGCTGTGCACACGTGTTAGCCTGCTTAACCACCTCGCCCCCGAATACAATTACACTTACTGTAATCTGTTCCGTGTTTTCCCTTTGCCCTCTGGTTTGAATATTTTCATTCTAAAAATTCATAACTCTGTTGAAATGTGCCCCCTTAAAAATTTAAAGACCAATCAGAAAATGCCCTTCTTGAAATTTGTTTCAATGATTTTGAAACCCCATTCTGGCTATCCCTGTGACAACAATATAATTTCACGGGTAACACCAAAAATCTTAAAATACTGTTTATTATGGTATTCAATGATGAATTGTTTATTGTCTGTTTTACATTTTACTACTCATTTCATCCTTTTATAAAATTGAAATACATGCTATTATATACTAAAGGTGATATTTATATAATCAAATATAATGGGAAAGTGGAGGTATGATAATTTCTTAAAAATTAAATAATGATGAACAAACAAGCAAAGTTATGATTCTAGCATCTGGATAGGTAAAAACATAATGCAAAAGTTTAAAATGGAGGAGAACCAATAAAACGCTTTGGGTACTTAAACACCTCTAGAATTTTGTTGTTTCTATTAGTACACTTCTTACATAGCTCAAATGTACAATTTTAAAACATCTGTAAAAGTTTATATTTTATATAGCACAATGCCATTTTTCTTGAGATGAAATAAATTAAAAAGAATAGATCTAATCTAGTGAACATTATTACTATATTTCTTTACACCCTTCTGATTAAAAATATCTATTATTTCCTCATTATGAAAGTTCAGGGCATGAAAAAAAAATTAAGATGTTTCCTATAGCATCACTAGCTATGAATACTTGGACTTTAAGAACATAGTCCAACGGTTTGAACAGAGTTAATCGGTTATTAATTGGAATTATTATTTACTGATATATATCTATAATTAATATTTATTTTTTTAGATTTTATCTTAATTATGTTACTTTCAAAACTAGCATTTACTGCAATACGAGCTATTCTAATTAAAGAAAGATTATATAGCTAATAATGTTCATTAAAAAATAAATTTTTTAAAATAATTTATTGCAACTTTGCTAATAATTTCTTTTGCTACTGCTTTTTATAGTAATCTCACCTAATGAATTATTTGTATTATAATTAATTGTGTTTCTGATCTCTGACCAAATTTGAATAGGGAAGTCGAGATATCCCCATGGTTTGCACTTTATGAAAAACAAATTTGATACCGAACAATAATTAAATTTATGGTCGATTACCTTTGAAATGCAAATGTTTATACTTAATTGCATTAAGGATTAGAATGTATACTTGAGATTATATTATTTAATAAACTTGGAATGTTTATATTTGTTTTTTTCCATTCAAGAGTTGAGATGTATGTGGAGGATAAAGTTTCACATCAAGGACCATTTCACTTGAAAATATCTCCATCATTAACAGTAAAAGAACTGAAAGATAAAATTGAAAGAGAGTATGAAATCCCGGCAAACGTCCAAAGATGGATACTGGGCAAACAACTAGCTGCTGATGATGGCATAACTTTGGATAACATGGGAATAAATAAAGATGGATGTCCAATTTTTCTATATTTAGTAGCTCCACCAGGTAAATGAATATATTTATTTTATTCTTCTGTTCTTATTATGATACAGAATACATCATGAGTTTATTGTTTATTTTTTTTTCTGTATAATAATTCACAATCTTAAACATTTGTTTTTTTTTTCTAAAAATTAAAATACTCTAAAAAAATTTAAAAATAAAAGTTGAGCTAAGGTTGAAATCTTGAAAGGAAAGTTTTCATGTTTGACTTTCTATTTTTTGTAATCTGCAACAATTGCCAACTGCAATTGGTTTATATAGTCAGATTTTAACGATTAACATGAAATGAATCTAGTCAACACACACCATTAATACATTCTGTTAAGGTATTTCCTTAGGAATTTGAAATTATTTTAATCAAAACGAAATATTACAGTCCATTTAATATAATTTTTGGAATGTGATTTTTGGCTATGATTTTTTACAATAACGTTATAGGACTAATGCAACTTAATAATAAAAAATGTTTAAGTAACATCTATATAATATTTATTAAAACACTGATTTTTTGTTCGCATTATTTTTTTTCTATTATAAATTATTTTTTAGAAATCACTCAATTAAAAAAAACAACTGATAGTGGCATTTTGTTAACGAAATTGAAACTTCCCAATACAAATACAGTAATCAACATAGATATCAGTGAAAAGGATCTGCAAGAAGCTGGACCATCAGGAATTAATACAAAAACTATGGTTGAAAAAATGGAAATTATTCCAAAACCTATTGAAGATGTACCTTTAGTCAGTGAAGGGCAATCTGTTTCCAACCCTATTGGAACATTGGCACTTGGTAAGCATTTATTTGTTGATAAATAGATTATTTTGCAAATTCGTCATGTATTAATCTATAACTTAGCTAATTATTAATGACCGTCCCCAATCCTCTAATCTTCTCCTCTATTCTAGTTTCTCCATTCTTCCTCAGTTCAGCCATCAGTAATTGACCAAGGTATGCATGTTTGATCTATTCTATTGGCTCCCTAGTCTCTAAACTTTTTATTATAAGGTCTCATCCAAGTCCTTAGGGGCCGAGATCTAACCAGCTCATCATATCAAAATAATAGTCACATTCATTACAGTTAAAATGTTCAGTTTTTTTATGTATATCAATTATTATGTTTCTTAATTGGTCTTTGTATATAAATATCCTACTATTATTTTCAATGATTTACTTATATTATAAATTTTGCAATGTAATTAAAATAAATTGTGGTGGGCCAGATTGGTGGTGCTTGTTTATAGACTGGAGTGTGTTCAAGAGTTTTTCAAAGTAGGGTGAACTGTACAGTAGTGAAAAAAACTATTTAGACTAAGAACCTATCTAGAACTTTGGGATTCAGCAAAACATGTCTACATAAACAAGTTACTAACAACATAATCCAATATTTTTTATGTATCCTGGGTTTATTTATAATCACACTATGCAAGACAAATGTAGCCATAGTAAAATCTTTTTTACATAAAATTCATTATCTAAACTCCAGTGAAAATGATCATCATCAAAAAAACCTCTGCTTCAGTGGTATACAAACCTTAAATCAAGTTCCTTTGTATCATTCAAATTGAAGTGAACGATTATAATAACATATACAATTTGCTTGAGACTGAACTGTAAATGTATTAAAAAGTAATAATTACAAAAATTGAATGTTTCACTGCTGTAGGATTTAAAAAAAATATTTCAAATTCTATGAATTTAGATCAAATGTTTGCATGTAAATAATGAAATTTCTCTATTTAGTTAAAATTCAGTTACTACCACCTATTATTCGTTGTTCATTTTTATTTAAGGTTGGAAATGTGAAATTTGCACTTTAATGAACAGTCCCACAAGGCCTGGTTGTGCTGCATGTACAACAGAACGTCCAAAAGATTATAAAGTGCCAGTAGAATACAAATTAAGTGAGGCAGAAATTTCAAGAATCGATAATGAAAAAATAACTGAAGAGAAGTCAACAAAGGTTAGCAGTTGATATTATAAGAATTTTTGTTAATTTATTTTTAGGACCTTATGTTTTTTAATGTTCTTTTGTTAGCCGAAGTAAGCTGTTTTTTTTTTACATAAACAACAAGGATGTTATTCCTTGACAGACTACAAATAAATTAATGTTTATAAGGATCTCACTTCGTTATCATTATCCCTAATGATAACGAAGTGAGATCCTGAAGGATGGTACTCGCTTGGCAATATAAACTATTTTTATTTATTTTATTTTTTAATGAATATATTATTGAACAAAATTCTCTTAAAACCAGTACGGAATAACGATATTCCTGTACAACTGCAACCCATGGGTTTTGAGTTGAATATTTAAAAAGGTTTTGCTTGTTTTAACCAATAGTTTTGGATGATGATCTGGTCAGGATGGATAATGCTCAACTGCCGAGTAGAAAAATAATATAGTTTTCAATAATTCATTTCCTTATAACGAATAGTGTTAATAATGCATTTATCTTGTTTTTCTCATAAATGAAATTCCCCTTTGGGAACAACTGTATAAGATACTGTGCTCTTGTCTCCCAGGACCAGGTAGGAGTTTAGCTGTGGTAGATAATTATTTATTCTGTTACATCATCCATGGATTTCCCCTGGGAATGTGGATTGAGTGGAGAATACATAGTCTTTACAAATTCAGTTAAAATAAGTGTTGGGAAAAATATTGAAGCTTCTTTATATCTAGAAATCATATTTTAGGCTGAGGAAGAGGAAAAAGCAAAGAACTATCAAAAACTTGTTGATTTGGAAAAGGATGATTTAATAATATACCCTGAAGCATTTGAATGCCCTGTATGCTTAACTGATTATTCTCCAATGGAAGGAATTGTATTGAGAGAATGCCTTCATGTATTTTGCAGGTTATATGTATTCCTTTTCAGTTAATTTTACTATCTTATTTAAGCCTTCTTAATTTATTTTTTAAATTTGAGTTTACATATTAGTTGGAGTTATCAATGATTAATTTAATTATATTTTTGAGTTTGCTATTCATTTTTAAAAATTTTTAATTTTATGTACGTTACTGTATTGAATAATTTATAAACATTCATTAACAATACATGTAATGACAATCAGCATGTTACCTGCTGTCAATTTTTGATGGCTGTTTAATTGAGATTTATTTTATTCCTGGATTTAATATTCTAATATTTATATATTTTTGAGAGACATTGAAGTTGTCCAATTTTAATGTCAAATTTAAGTTGTTAAATTTTAATAATTTATTTTTCAATCAATTTACACTCTGGTTTTATTTATAGTGATTTAATTAACTTATTGAAATACCTCAATTTATTCTAAATTATTAAATTTGTTCACAGAAATTGTGTCAGTAATACTATTCAGTTTAGTGAGGAAGCTGAAGTCAAATGTCCATTCAGAGACAATAACTACACTTGTGATAGTAGTTTGCTTCAACGTGAAATAAAAGCTGTATGTAGTCAATCAATATCATATATATATAAGAAGGTAGCATAAAAATTTATGAATTAATATCATTTGACATTCTCTAGTTAGTACCTCCTGAAATATATGAAGAACACCTTGCTAAGTCCATTGCACTTGCTGAAACTAAGATAGGAAATGCATTTCATTGTAAAACACCAGATTGTAAAGGTTGGTGCATTTATGAAGATAATGTAAATACCTTCCATTGCCCTGTCTGCACTCATATAAACTGTTTGACATGTCAGGTAATTTTAGATTATAGACATTTTATAATTATTAAATTATTTTTTGTTTCTGTGCTCCGATTACTAATTTGGTTAGTCATTTTTTATTTTTCAACATATTTTATAAGCCCATTATAATTGCCATGATCCTGTTGTTTTAATGATTTTCACCATATGCAGTACTGAAAATTCTATGTTGCATACCTATCTGAGTTAGCCATTGTTATACGTTAAATTGTTTGCTTCAAGAAGGATGACTAGATATAGAAAATAAAAGGTCTAATAATTTTGAAGTTCCTTGTACGTATACTCCATAATACTTTAAGTTATGTGTTAAAGGTGAATCTAATATATGTTTTGACAAAAGCATTTAGATGACCAAATTAAAGGATTCAGACACCGAGCATGATACTGCTTTTTCCGAAGAATATATTGTATAAAAATTTTAATATCTTAAAAATTAATATTAAGAAGAATGCACAGTTAATGTACTTGCTTTATAAAGATGGCCAAAGAGCTTATAGTAGCTCTTCCTTATAAGAATAAAAGTATAATAGTATAATAGCTTATAAGCAACTGAAATTCACAAAGATAGTGTAAAATGTCATTCTCATTTTAACAAAATTTACTTATTTTCGAAACATTCTGCATTTGGATCCTAAAATTTTGTTAAAATAAATTGAATATAAACAAAGGTTCTTTGTAAATTGTTATAATTGATGAAATCAAATTTGATACTATAAAAATGAAATTCATTTGTAATTATCTGATATTTACTGCGTACCTACTTCAATACTACATACCTAAATTGGTTCCAAATACTAAATACTACTTTGGTTCCAAGCCCCTTATTAGATCCCATACTGACTTTCCCATATTACACCTTAATGACCAGCCAATTTCCTTCTACTCCTCTGTTAAAAATTTAGGATTTTTCATAGATCAAACCCTCTCCTGGACCTACCATATTTCTCACATTTCCCGTCGGACAATTTCTACCCTTAAACTATTTCATCGCTTCCGCCATCTCCTACCTCAACATATCCGTAGACTCCTAATTTCCTCTCTCATCTTCCCCCACTTTGACTACAGCTGTGTGGTGTATGATGGCCTCTCGGTGGAGCTCCGTGATAGACTGAAAAGAATAATGAATAGCTGCATAAGATTTGTTATTGGTGCCCCGAGGTACTCCCATGTCTCTCACCACTACACTGAGTTAAGGTGGCTCTTCCCCTCCTTCCGAAGACAATATTTTCTAGGTACGTTCCTCTACCAAATCATCAACAACCATCGTCCTTCTTACGCCTACAACCTTCTCCACTTCAAATCCTCAGTCCATTCCCTGTCCACAAGATCTCGACCTTCTGACCTTTACATGCCTTCTCACAGATCTGCCTCATTCCAAAATTCCTTTATTGTTCGCTCTATCAATTTCTGGAATTCCCTCCCTATCAAAATTCGACATTCCCCCTCCATATCCACATTCAAATCCCTCCTATTCCAATTCATATCACAAAAACAGTCAGATACTTGCTAACCATTCGAGCGGATTTTAATAGAGAATTTGATACATTTTTATTTTTTAATTCTTTATTTTTTTCGGAAAAGTGTATACTGGTCTATAAGAGCAAATAGCTTTAAGTGTCTTGTCATAGTATTAATGGTTTTGTATATAGTTTAGTTTGTTTTGTATATAGAATTTTTACCTTATATTTTTTTTTACATTATTTCTTTTTTTCGATTGATTTTATTTTGGCCAGATGTAATATTTTAATTTTGTTCTATTTTGTTATTCTCAAGGAACTGTGTCCCAGAATAAAGTTATTTTTTTATCTATCTATCTAAATATTTTATAAAACACTGAATTAATCAGAATAGCTTCTGAAATCATTAGAAAAATAAATAAAAGCTTAAAAGCTGCTTAGATTTCTCAAATCATTGTTTAAGTTTTATATATTAGTCATTTACTGCAATAATATCATTTCTCAAATATCCAAATTTTCAAATATTAGCTAAAGAGATTTTCTTGGTGTGAAAGCATTTACTGTATAATTTTATTGGTGTTATTTAATGAATAATTGAATGACTAGGAAAAATTTATGTATAAATTTATTTATTTTGCAACAATTTTTTCAACATTCCTTAGAATAGCCAATATTGAGAAATGTATATAGCCAATATTGCAGCAAATGAGCAATATGATTTTGTATATAGAAAAGTAAACATGATTAGAATTATAGACGATTAAAAAAAAAAGTTATATTAAAGAAATTGATGGCTTCTGAGCTGATATTACAGACTAATGATTAATGCCCTGATTTTGTAAGGACAATAAAAACTTTAGTATGTACAGAAAAATATAGATGAAAAATTAGTATTTCACTTAAAACCAAATTCGTTATGAGCAATATAAATATACTTCTATATTTGGAATGGAGACATGTTCTCAGATTATATTTTATTAGTCTTCACTTATAACTACTGCCCTCTCTCTCTCTCTCTCTATGTATATATATATATATATATATATATATATATATATATATATATATATATATATTGGGTTGTCCAGAAAATAATGCAGGATTTTGGAATTTAAAAAAAAGAAAGAAGATTTACAACTGTTTTATTTAATCAAAATAGTTCCACTACTATCAATACATTCCTGTCAATATGTTGGGAACTTTTCCATTTCCTTGGAATAGAATTACCCATCTTTAGACCCAAAAACACTTTCTCTAATTCCCTTTAACCATTAAATTTTTTTGTCACGAAAGTAGTGGTCCAGGTGCCTAAAAAAAAATGATAATTCGTATACCAAAGGGCCAGAGAATAGGGCGGATGTGCAGAGGTCCATATCCAAGCTCCAACGGTTTTTGTGACATCACACATGAGACATGTGGCCAGGCGTTGTCACGCAACAAAATGGACCCCTTTTGATTGACCAAAATGGCTACGTTAATGCGAATTTCTGATGTATTGCATTAAATTGGTTACAATATGATTCAGCATTGATGGTTTCTCCAGGATTTAAGAAACTGTAGTGTATCAAACCAAATGAAACCCACCAAACAGTAACCATCACCTTTTTTTGATGAATTGGGAGCTTTGGAAAATATTATGCTGCTTATCTTTTGTTGAGCCACTGTCCAGAAAATCTACTGTCATCGTAAAGAGCTAATGTTCATCACAAGTAACAATTCTGGACTGAAAAGGGTAGTTTTTGTTTCGGTAAAGAAGCTTAGCAAAACTTCACAACACTTGTTTTTTTGGCTGTTGTTTAATGTGTGTGGAACCCAATTTTCAAGCTTATTTACCTTTTTAATGATACTTTGAGGTGATCATCAAGGGTCGATTTGCTAAGGCTAAGTTTTCCTGCAAGTTCTCAAACAGTTTTTCTGAGGGTTTCGTCCACCAAAGCCCACAGAAAATCATCATAAAGAGAGGAAGTCCTTCAACAACCTTTGGCTTCAAGGTCCCAAAGCTCCCAAAATTGTTTGAACCACCATTGAACAGTGCACTCATTAATGCTGCTATCGCCCCAATCTTGATTGATGTTTCTGATTGTCTGGGCTCCATTCGGGCTGAGATTAAACTCGTATAACAAAATTATATGAAAATCATGCATTGAAATCTCAGTAAAGACTAAATTATTTCTAAACAAACAATATCGTTTGAAGAGGATTAATAAGTGTTGACATTCATACTAATGAATAAGCCAGTAAACGTAAACAGTTTGTTATATATATATATATATACATATTTTAATTTATTAATTAAAAAAAGTATATATATATATAATAGCTTAACATATGAATAATAGTCGGATAATAGGTCATGAAATTTTACTTAATCTAGAATTAATACAGTTTGATCAATACAACAGAATATATACTAATAATGCCCTACCGCCTAAAATTTATGGACTCCCTAAAATACACAAATCCACTATTCCTTTACTATCGATAGTCTCCTTTGTAAATTCGGCACCTTCTGGCTTAGCGAAATTCATAGCTGGTATCTTAAATACAGCAAAAATAGAAAACGAATTGAATATCAAAAATTCATTCCAAAAAAATATATATATATATTTCATGACCTATTATCCGACTATAATTCATGTTTTAAGTTATAATATATAAAGGTTGAATTATAAAAAAAGATTGTAATATTATATATATATATATATATATATATATATATATATATATATATATATATATATACGTACATATGAGAATTATTTCTTATATAATTTTTGTTTAAATCATACTATAAATAATTATGGATGAGAATGGTTGGTTTAAACTAAATACTTCATAATATTTTAGGCAATCCATGAAGGACTTAACTGTAAACAGTTTCAAGAACAGTTAAATACTAATTCTGATATGAACATCGAAGCAAAAAGAACGAAAGAAATGCTTCAGGTATATATTTATAGAACTTTTATGTTAATTTGGAATTTTACTAAAATTTAGTATTAACATTTTATATTTGTCAGAGGGTGCTAAATTCAATTATGGTGGTCCTAGAACAGTTAGTTCTATTATTACTTATAGTTGATGTAAAGTAAAAATAATGTGCCAGTTATGGAAAATAAGGCATAATCTTAGTCAACTTATATTATATTAGACATTTGTTAAACCATATCTGGATAGCAAAAAGGCCTTTTAATCTCCATAATTAAAATACTTTATTTTAAATTAATCCAAAATTTCGCCTCTTCAGGGATAAAATTTGATTTTACAATATATTGTGAACTTTCATCTAAAAACAATATATACAAAATTCTTTCAGATATCTTACTAGTAGACATTAGCCCATTTACACAACACATAATAACATTAAAAACAAATATTAACCAGTCAACGATATGTATATAAAAATTGTAACTTAATCGCTTATAGCAGTGCACTATCTTGTACACCTAGTCATAGTACATAACAGAATGAGATCAATCCTTCAGAGAAGGAGAGGCATTACCAATATTAAAATATTTAAACATCACATAATTAAAAACAAAATGTATGTATAAAATGTAAGTATAGTGTCATACGACTTTTTGGTTTCAAGCTTGAGTGTTCACATACACACAGACACACAGACCATTTTTCGGGACTTGGTTATTTGGATTCAGGGGACCTCAGAACATGTATTTCCATTGATATTTAGGAAATGAAAAGGATAATATATATTTATTATATATAATAAATATATAAACATATATTATCCTTTTCATTTCATAAATATATATTTTTAATATTATATCGATTTTAAACTATGTAACATGGGTCTACCGATGGGTGGGATGTATTAGTATTAGTATTAGTGGGATCGTAACGAATAGATTAATAAAATGAGTATGAAAAAATTTAAAATCTGAGCCGATGCAACTTTTAAAACATGTAGATAATATTTTAATGATAATAAATAAAAATCTGATAGATAACACCCTGAATGCGTACAATAGTTTTCACAATAGTCTACAATTTATGCATGAAATATAACTAAATAACTGCATTCGATTTTTGGACATCTTAATCCTGAACTATAATGGTCAAATAAAATTTAAGTGGACAAGGAAAGATGATTGCATTGACAGAATTTTAAATTACTTACCACACCACCCTTTTAATAAAATATTAAACATAATTAGTAACTTCATGGGTAAAGCTAGAAAACTAACAGATATTGATTGTTTGAATGATGTGAAAGAGCAATTCTTTAAAATTCTCAAAAAAAACTTTATACCCAGACTCGCTAGTTACTGCTACATGGTATAAAATTGATAAACCAATAAAATTTAATGATCAAATTAATGGTAGTCCACTGATTCCTAGATACAAACCCTTAACACATATAAAACATATATAACATATCGTTCAGAATTCCTCACAAATCATTTATGAAATATAATATTGACAAAATAAAACTAACATATAGAATTTCTAACAAGCTTTACAAATATTTTACACCATTAAAAGATAAAATAACTACTAACCGAAATTACAATTTAATCTACAAAATTGTCTACATTGTCCGAATTATGATATTGCCATGACTACTCAAAACTTCGATAAAAGACTATATCAACATAAAAATTTGTATATTGATTATAAAGACAAAAATAACGGGAAGAAAGAGCCTCAAACAGCTTTAGCAAAACATACAAAAGACTTTAAACATGAATTTGATTTTGATAACCCAGTGATCCTCCATCACGAAAATTCTGAAGAAAAATTAAAATACTTGGAGACACTTTATATATCAGAGAGCTTTGATAGGGTTGTAAATTTTAAAACTGATGCCAGAAATTTAAAAAATTTCTTTTCGGAAACAATAAAAATCGTGAATAAACAATGATATTGATAAACATCTGATCAGGTTATTTCTTAATAGATAAGCCGATAAATATTTATATTAATAAATAGCCGATAAGTTGTTAGAATGTTGGAACCTGTTAACCGTAGCCATACGGCAATGTTTTAAATTGGCTGGCTTATGTGCAGTGTGGTTGTTCCATTCCAAAAATTGTACAATTCATTCCAGTACTATTAATACTAATCCTTTTTTTTTGGAATTTAGAAAAACATGACACACCTGTTAATTTGGCGTTAACTAAATTGGATTTATAAGTCACATTTTATTTGTATAAAAGCAGTAAAATAATTCTCTATTCTGAATTATGTAACTTCAAATTTTTAATATTGAAGAAAGTTAGAATATACATTGTTCTACTTGGTTAATTATTTAAGTAGAAGAACTAAGTAATCTGTAAACAACTCCTCAAGAAGTGTGTCACACAAGTGTGTAAGCCTTGGAAATGGCTGGATGATATGGAAAAGAATCTACAGTAGCTAAACATAAGAGGATAGCTCACCAAGGCTATGGATGAAGTACAGTGGAGCAGGATAATGGAGGAGGCTTTGGTTCCTAATGGATTGTAACGCCATGCAGTGATTGAATGTATATTAGTTGGGTACCAATAATACTCACAGAAATCAGGTTCAAGCTAGTTAGAGGTCATGATAGCTGTGTGTATTGAGGCATTGCCCTCTTTAACATTCTCGAGCCTAGCAACAGAATTTTGAATCAGCCTGGGTTGGTTGAAATTTTGTGGTGAACCCATGGAATGAATCTTGCCCTTCTCACTTTGCTTAGAATAGGTTTGATTGTACATATAGAACAACCCTCCCTCATTCACTCCCCACATATGCCTTAAATAGTGAGGGAATGAGTAATTGAAAAAAAAAAAAAAATGATTCCACGTAATAACCAGGTACCATTATTCATGAAATTGTTTAATGCTTTCTTATGCCCTATGAATATAATCACTTAACTCTAATCAGAAGTAATTTGATATTAGTTTAAGAAACAATCAATATATTATTCGGGTTTAAGACTTGCTAATTTAAGTTAAAAAATATTTTTAATTTATATGGTCCTCCTAATACTGGGCAAGTATTATTTATTTATTTTATTACCATCGTTATCATATTTATTTAAAAAATATTTTACTTTGTATTTTTAAATTTTGTTGATTAATTAAGAATAGACCTTTGTGGATAGATATTTATAACAGTTAATCAACCTATAACTCACCATAACATATAGTAATAAATGAAACAATTGTAACTATAATAATTAATGCAGCCATTTTACAAGTACCCAGTGTACCATAGCCATTAAAAATTTGAGGAAAACATGTAATTAAATAAAAAATAAATTCAATAAATAAAGAGTAAATCAAAATTTAAAAAATCCTCATATATTAATATAAACAAAATTTCAATTTTAATTAAAAATCGAGCTTAACTACTTAAAATTATTTATAAGTAACACAAAATAGACTCATTCAGAATATTCAATTTCCATTTTAATTTATGTGTGTAATTATCCCAATAAATTAATGTTATGATAAAGCAAGTAAAATATAAATTTAAATTAGCAATTTCAACTCAGTTTAAATCCGTTTTTATGCAGAACTTCTCTATAAACAATGTTCTTTTTTAATGTTCTTTTATTGTTTAGTACATAGCTTTGCTCCTTGCCATTGGAAATATAAATTTCAAAATTTTAAATGAACGTGCTCTACTAGCTGCCACATATAATTGTCTATTCGAAATTACTGGACGTCGCAATAATACACAAATTTCTCCAAAACTTTGACCCAGCAATTTGATTATGGTCATAGCAAATGCGTGTCAGAAAATATTAAATTAATTCTTAGAATTAAAATTATTTTATTTAAAGTAGCTCCCGTTAGTACTTCACTCTCATTCGTGTTCCATTGACTAATGCTTGTGCAGTATTTAATTAAGAATGAGTATAACTATAGAATTTATTTCTGAATTTAATTTATGAGGTAACATTCCACTAACATTCAATGATATCATCTCTTCGAATAACAGTCCTGATTACTTCATTAAATGTAAAGTTTTTGATTTATCAAAAACCGAAATAATGGAAATCGACTTTGCAAAAAAAAAAGTACTGACTGTTTAAAATGATATATCTCTGCAACAAATAGTCCAATTTCGATGTTTTGTTTTTCTTTTGTAGGGAATTCAGGAAGCTTTCAAATAAATATTGGTATTATCAATAAAAAAATGTGCACTATTTGAGTTATTCGTAAATAAAATACTGAATTCATCATAAAAATGTTTGCAGCTTGTTTTCAGGAAAGTATGTTATATATATAAATTATAAATGTTTCAAGGGGAACTTTAGGTAAGTTTCATTAAAATAGTTGAAGCCTTATTGGCGCTATAGTCTAAAGTGAATCACGTTTTTTTTCGGACACCATTTCAAAAGGAAAGGCCTGATGAAAATGAATTGTACACAAAACACTTCTAAATATTATTCCAATGTTGTGTCAAAATTTCAAAGAAATTAGTTAAGAATTTTTCGGTGATTAGCTGTTTTGAACAAACTACCATTTGTATTTTTATTTACGTACTATTTCATATTTTTATTTATTGATAACACAAAAAAGCTCATCAATAGCTATTAAACAAAGAAAGAAGGAAGAAAATCGGTTGAATAATAAAGGAGAAAAAGGGACTGAACAGTTTTGTGTATGCCTATTTATATAATGATTAAACTTATGAGTCTCCCCATATTAAGGAATATTTTGATGCAATTTCTTGGTATAAGTTCGAGACACGTGTTGTTTTATTGTTTGGTATTTCCAACTCTGTATAGAAATATGTTTTAATATCATATATCATATGAAATTGGCATGATCATTGTGAATATTTGAAACTAAAACTAAAAGTTTGTATAAATGCTTATGAGTTTTATTTTTTATGTTTTTTATCAACTTGAAATGGAAGTTCTATATTTATTTTAATATATGCTTCTATCTATTAGGAGATGGTTGACCGAGGTGAAGCAATGAACTGCCCAACTTGCCAAGTAATTTTAATGAAAAAATGGGGTTGTGATTGGCTGAGGTGTTCAATGTGTAAGACTGAAATATGTTGGGTAACAAGAGGTCCCCGATGGGGTCCGAATGTAAGTAGTTCTTTTTGTCATATTTAATACTTATAATTATCAAAATTACATTCTATAACCCGTCAATCCATAAAAAAGACATAACTAGTTAATTCATTACTGTTTTGTCTCTTTTTCTGTTATTCAGAGTACTATTACTTCATTTTAATATTTTTTTCTTAATTGTTTAATTTTTTTATTATGTAATCACACTATTATTTAAAACCACTCTCTATTTTTCATTTAAAACTGCTAATCGTAAAATTTTTTAACTGATTTACACACTTTTTATGCAAAATGGTCCATGATCTCTTGAGATGGTTGAAGTTCCTAAAATCCTCAATCTGACCGATAGATAACCGTTAAAAATATAGAGTTTTGTAAGTATTCTTATCTAGCTCAGTCCCATGGTTTCAGGAGCAGTAAATTTGGAATTTAAAAATGTTTATATCATGTACACGATGAGTGCATCTGCTTAATTGAAGAACATGTGACATGTGTGAGGAACAACTGAATAGTTAAAGTATGAAGAAAAACTAATGAGCAAAAAAATATTTAGCAGAATTTGGCTTTAGTTTGATGACTTTATCCTAATTTTTTTTTACTATTATAGCCAGCATGTTTTAAACCATTTAAAGAAAAACTTGCAGAAATTCAGTTTATAAACTCTAAGATTCATTTTATATTATTTGATTTGATATTTTTTAGTTTTTTCTCCTTTTGGTATATGATGATCTCCAAAAGGTGTTGTAACAATAAAATCTAACGATTTTTCATTAATTAACAATAAGAACTTTTGTAGACCAGATTGGAGGGACTTGTGGGTCAGACCCCAGTGTATACTTATAGCAGTAGAAGAAAGGACAAAAATATTGTTTATGTTGATATACTTTAAGTTTTCTTTAAATAGTTTAAAACATAAAATAGTTGTTCATAAAATAAAAAACATTTATGGTGTAAAGACTGCAAAAAGTAAAACTAAAGACGTTCACTGCCATCAGTTTTTTTTTTTACTGATCCTTTCTTTTTCCTTGTTTATTTTAGTTGTTATTCAGTTAATCAGATGTATTTGATCATGTACTCATGAAGTATATAAAATAATCATCTATAATATTAATTTATAATAATACTTTATTTGTTTTTTTAAATTAATTTTTCTAACAATCTTTTTAAATTAATATTATATAATTATGCATTAAAAAATATTATCATGGAAAATTATGATATGTGGAAAATTTAATTAATCATATTTGCCATTTTTATTAACCCACAAATTTTTAATATTAACTATTTCTTTATATATTTTAACTTTCCATTATTTATAGGGTAAAGGTGACACCAGTGGAGGATGCCAGTGTGGTGTTAATGGAGTAAAATGCCACCCTAAGTGTACTTACTGCCACTAGTCTATAAAAATCATGACTAACTAGTTTTAATCTAATGTAATATAAAATGTATTCTAATAATTTTTATAAATAATAAATTATATCAATTTATGAAGTATTAATTACTCTTAATATTTATTACATTTTTCACTTCCTTCTCAATAAGTCATACCCATGAATATTTGTTTTTAGTTTTATAAGGCTAATAACTCAGGATATGATCAATAAGTTGACATGTATCATATCTTTAAATTATAATAAACGTAAACTTAAACATAAATCATTAATTTTAATAAAATTTATTTAGCAATTTGGTCATCGTCAAAGAATGATTCATCCTGAAGTTATTGATTCTGGTTCTGAGGAAGTACACACTAGTAGATCATGTTGTGCGATTTGTCTATATACCATCTAGAGACAGTCTCGACACACGTTCTGTAGACCGTCTAGAGAAACCATTCTTTGATTTGTCTACTGTCCACACTTTGGTGTGAATTTTTCGGTCTCATCTTTGTAATACACCATGGATGACACTTTTCAGTGAATACAAAAATGTGAATATTTGTTGAAGTGCAAAGTGCTCGCAACATGTAGATGGGGATTGGTCTATAGACTTGTCTATGTAGAAAACCTGAGACATATCACTGAGACCTAAATTGTGCAACATGTCTACTATTGTGGACTAGGCTTAAGGCTGATTTCCAATTTATATTGTATGTAATACAGAACTTTTTATTGTAAATGAAGCTGATTTTTATTCTTTCAATTAAAAGCTGGACACCATTGGCTGTGAAAAATTGATTATTTAAAACCAATTTCAAAGAAAAATAAATACAAAATTTACTGAAAAATAAAAATTTCAATTTAACAAAGGTTTAGGCTGTATTTATCACATCATATTTATTTGTCTTCTCTTATTTCTTTCGGCTATGTCCCTGAATAAATACAATCTAAATCTTTATGATGCATTCAATTTCACCTTTAACTAAAATTCAATGTAACATATTTTTATGTAATGAGAATGTTGTAATATGAGGTGTAAAAAAATACTCCTTTAAAAAAAAATGGATACTGTGAGGAATAGTTGACTAATGTCATTTTGACAACATGTGATTTATTATATAAATAAAAAATACTTCATAAAGGATAAATCTGGAACAGTAAAATACTTGTCAAAATAAAATAAGTATATATAATTATCTAAATAGTCTTTCTATCTACATTTAAATCAAAGAAATTTTATTTATTTACTACACAAATTATGTTTACAATATATAAATAAAATTTTATAATTATGATTATTTCTGACCAATGAATCTAATTTTTGGTAAAAAAATATCTAAATAAAATAATATTTAACATATAATCTATTTACTTATCAAGCTGTTCTAATCACATTTAGCTGAGAAATAGAATTTTATTGTTTTATTTATTCAATTACAGCCTTTCTTTTAAAAATTAAAAACAGTATTAATATCTAGAGAAAACAACATTTATATTTTTTTATAAGAGGTAAATGGAAAATTCCCATACAGAGGATTCACAGAAAAAAAATTAAAAACATTGTTTGATCATTTAACTATTTATAAAACGTTGTCATTTATTATAAATATTTTTTCCTTTTTATAAAAAAATTGTGAATTGTATTTACAAATGTTTAAAGTCAATGTTGCTCCTAAAAAAAAAACCACATATTCCTCTTTTTTTCATTTGTATTAAAATAAAGATTATAAGAGATATTGAATGTTTAACTGGAAAAAGAAATTAATTGTAATATTTATATACATAAGGTGTGTAGTAAAGAATAAGGTACTGATATGTAAATGTGGTGATTCAATTGCACTGTGAATTGTTTCATTAGTTATCTCTATTCATGCTGTATAGGAAAAATATCCTATATACTAATATGTATTTTAGTAGAATGTAAGATCTATATAGATAGTATAAATTATTGAATATGAATTGTTTTTATAATGATGTAAACTTCCAACAGGCAGCACATCTAAAAAATATTATGAAAAAACGACGGCATGGACTGAAATATGATTTGTTAGATATAAGTTTTAAAAAAATTATAGGAAAAGTTGGTGTGGAGATAAGTAATGACAAAAAACACAAATAAATAAACTTGGTTTAACTTGTGCTAATGTTTTGGCCTTCATCAGGTGCAATCTTCTGGAACTCTCACTTCTACAGTCAACAATACCTCCACTATTATTAATAATTTAATTGAAATGATTGCTAATGGTACTTTTATTCGACATTAAAATGGAATAAGAAAACTTTATTAATACACTACAGCCTCAGTAATCCAAAGTAAATATTGGTCTTTGGATTACAAGGGTTCGAGAAAACTATTTGCAATAAGACATTAATTTAAATAAACATACAGCTTTATTTTTGGACATCCTTCCTCACTACTCCATCTCTTAGATAATGTAGGAGAAGGATTTGTTGACACACCATATTGTTTGCTATTTCCCATTGAATTTACTAATTGAAATGAGGTACTGGATCGTATCTTTAAAGCTTATTGTCATTCTGTTTTTATAAAAGATGAGGGGTTCTTGGAAAATAACCAAAGAAAGGATACTTGTGTGCATGATTATTTTTCATTAGTACTGATGAGTTTAAAAAAATCTCAAAACTTAATGTAATCCTTTATTTTTCTTTCTTGTAACTGGAGCGTTCAGAAAATTGTACACTTGCTGTTATTGATTCAGAACTGTTATTTCATAAATATCTTTCCATACTACGAATGATTAATTTTTTATTTTTATATACAGATAAGGATAGGATAAAGTCACAAAATTTTCTTTTCTGTTCTGTAATTTGGTTTAGTTTAATAGAGGATCAAATGAAATACATCTATTAAAACAGAAAGTAGTTAATAATAATTCGTCAAATTTGTATTAAAAATTAAAAATAGAGTATATTCAATTGTGGTATTTTTTGATAAATAATGATGATTGTAAATAACCTGAAAATTTAATAATGTTTTGTTTAAAATATTGCTTAGTTTAGTTACATGATAAAATCATTTTATTAAAAACTGAAGATAAAAATTACTTTTATAACATTTCCTCGTTGTTAGGATATAACATGTCTAAAGTTTTCTATGCAAAGTAATTTCGTTTTCTTTTGGCAGCAATAGTAAGTATTCAGCATGTAATTTCTGTATTCAAATTATGGTAAGCTTTTCACAATTAGTAAGTTATTCCTTTTTTTTTTTGGTATATATGTATGCTAGACAAGATTCTTCTTTTGACTTGTCTTTTCTGCAATAGCTTAAACGGAAAAATGTTATTATATTGATTTGAATATTAAATCAATATGAAATTGAAAAGAAACCATAGAAAAGGATTAATTTTTAGCACTGAGAAATTTGAATTTATAAAGAATTTATGATATAAGTATTATAATAACTACTTTATTTCAAGCCTAAACATTATTTTGATAACAAATCTACAGTTAAAATTGAAAAATTTATCATTTCAAATGGAAGGAATAAATCAGTACTACCAAGTTGATTAATAAATATTCATAGATCAGTAGCAGGACCTCCAACTACTACTAACCCAGGTAAAATTTCAGTTTTAATATTCATGTCCCTTTCATCAATTCCATTTGCTGTTGCTTTTGTTTCCTTTTCTAAATCTTTTGCAACACCAATTAATAATTTCACACTATCAAAGGAATCATGCCGTAAGAAGTTTTTACTTTTCTTTGTGCTATTATTGCGTGACTTTGCCTCCTTTGGAGCTTCAGTTCTGTAATTTGATTCCAAACTATTGTTATGGTTCTTATTGTATTGTTCATTTGCATCTCTATTTTTTGATGTAGTTGCTATAGAGCCTGATAAATTGTTTTCAGTTTGTTTAGTTGGTGATTTGACAGCTTTCTGAGGAGATTGTAAGCTAGCTACATTTGCACTTTCCTTGATGGGTGAAGCTCTGCTTGATTTTTGAAAAGTTGGTGATTCATGAGGAGAGCTAATGACACCAGATGATTGAAGTGAGGCAGATTTTTTATCATTGCTTTGGGTCTTTGCTGGAGATGAATAGAGAGAATGTGGTTTATCTGTAGCATGATCATTAATTAAAACACATTTCTTTTGTTGGGAAAGTGGTGATTCTATAGTATGTAGAGATGAAGTGATTGTTGAGCCATTGGAAGTGATAACACTAGACGTTTTTGGACTGAAACTGGTAGTAGTTTCTCTTCGTAATGAATTTCGGTTATAGTTTGTTTTCCGCAACATCGCCTGTAATATCAAAATTTTAAAAAACCTTCAAAAGAAACATAACTATCAGACTAATGGATAACTAAAATCACCTGGAAATTAAATGGTGGTTCGTCATCATTTGAAGGATCATTTCTGGGTATTTGTTTTCCTTTTAACTCCAATTCAGCTATTGGATTAAATTTCAACTGGTTCTGCTTCTCTAATTTTTCCCTAAAATAGCAAGTGATTCAAAATCTCATTGGTTAAATAGAACTTGATAAATGATGAAAGGATATATTTTTAGAAGGACAACAAACCTATATGGGCTCTTGCTTTCAGAACTTCTGTTTAATGGTAGGTGAATATCACCATTAGTTGTTGCTGTTTCATTCATTACAACTGAACATGTTTTGGCTTCTTCTTCTATCATGCTCAAGCAGTTTGGTTCATTACGATGAGGACTTTTCATTCCTTTTTGCCGAGGACTTTTACACATTGTACTATCAGGCTGAGGACTTTTACATTTCACTACATTGTTATCTTGTTCATCATTTTCCTTTTCCTCAAGTTCTTCCTTTGTATTATAATCAGATTTTTCATCTTCATATTGATCTTCAATCTGTTCAAAGAAAATGTTTCAATAAATTCTAGGGAAAACTAAAATTTATTAAAGAAAAAGTTTTTATAGTATATATTATTGTGATTGGTTTTGGAAAAAAAAATATATAAATAAAGATATGTCACATCATGATTAGAAAGAAATAAAACATCAAACTTGGTTGTAATGATGATAGTAGTAGGTACCTACATAAAGGCACGGTGGATTTAAATGTGTATTGATTATTATTTTTAGATTTCAGTAGCATTTAAGAGGGCTATTCATGACAACTCATTTGTACATTGGAAGTCAATTACACATTTTAATGTAAAACTGAAATGAATTATTGAATTATTAAGGATCATTGAATATGAATTAGCAATCCGTGTAAAAAGAAAAAAGTGTATTATTGGTGAGTATTTCAATGAGGGTAGGATTAATTTGCCATAAATATTGATCAAATTCACGCATTTATTGGAAAAACCAGGATAATACAAATGAAATTTTACAGTTTCTCTCTTTGGGTAATAAAATACATTCTAATATTTTATACATAGATTATATATATATACATGCAGATATATAATCAAACATTTACATAAAATATAAATCTAGATTGTTGATAAATCAATGGACATAGTAAATAAAATATTTCTCCTACAAATACATACATGAATCAGGGTTATTAATATTACAAATCTACTGGAACTAACAAACATTCATGTCTATTGAATAAATGAAATGATTTTTAGTTATATCATTTATTTCACCAAAAAATATTTATTATAATTTGATGATTACTCAAATATTAATTCAGATAAAGTTAAAGAAAATTAAAGTATCTCATTCTAATTCTAAGAAAGTGCCCTTGAAAAATAGTACTAAGGTTAGTAACTAAACATATGTGTCAGATAGTGTTTTTCAGCATAATAAATGATTTTGTTTAATCCATTGTGTTCATGCTTTTTGGATTCTAGAAACTTTAATCAGTGTTGATTTATATTTGCATTAATTAAATGATAAAATAAAAAAAAAAAAAGTAAAATAACCACACCACATTAATAATTTTACTTGTAATACTTTGCATAATTATTTTTTATTTAATTTTCAAAATTATTTAAAATTGATCTGGTGGAATAAAAAGCTTTTCTATTTGAAACTATGTTTTAAAAGTAAATTTAAATAGAACTAAATATTTTAAATAACCAAAAACAACCTAAAATAAAATTTGGTGTATGAAAAAAACAGGGCTTGAAACAGGAAACAACTTTTAATTTTAAAATTTTTCGGTACCACTGGAATGGTGGATATTTTTCTAGTTATTTTGGAACTAGAACTTTTCCCTTTGTAACTTGCAGTAAAGATTGAACAAAACTGTAATTTTGAATAAACTTTTATTTTAAAGTTCAGTCAATGTTGCTAAAAAGTCAATAATAAAAATGACTTTTATTCTTAAATACTCAAACAAACAATTTGTTAGAATCATGTTTGTAATTCATTTAAGACAAATTTTAATTCTCATCTAAGTACAATTACAGTTCATTCTTCATATAACGGAACTTTTATTTAGAACTTAAATAAATACAAGTTAAACTTTTACCATGAACCTCAAACTTTATTTTTAAAAAAAGTTTCTTAAAAGTTTTATTTTAACAACTTTTTTTCTAAAAAAGTTTCACAGAAACTGTTAAAATGAAGCTTTGGATAAAAGTTTCAATCCCTGGAAAAAAATATTGTGATGAAAATTAAAAAGTAATTTATATGAAAATTCATATCCTATTGAACAAAATTTGAATACTATTGATTTCAAATAATTATTTTTATAATAGTTTTTGGTTTTAAAAACAAAGTTGTGGCTAATGAGGATTACTCTTTTTCTTGTTATTATTGTAAATAATTTTTATGGATCATCCACATATCATGCAATGCCTAAATGAAATGGGACCATTTAAACTCCATGTAGTGAGAACAATTTTTTTATTAAAAAAAAATAAACAATTTACAATTTTTTTTGTATCAGAACAAAAATAAATGACTTTGATATAATAGAAAGACTAAGTTATGTCCAACGTGGCATATCACATCATTAGGGGAGTGGGAGCAAAAGGAGTTATAAATAGCAAACTTGGGCTTGATATAAAAATATAAACAGCCTAAAATATATCTGAGAAAGAAATGATAGATTAAGATGCATCTCTTTTTATTCACATTTACAGCACCTTTTATTGTACATGTATTATATTTATAAACAAACATCTGTACTTCATAGGTAAAAGTTCTGTTTTCATATTCATAAAATTACTCAGAAGAGGACAAAATGTGATTTTTTTTCTTGATAATAGCTCATAATTGTCTCATTAAATATAACTTTTTGGTTTATTATTTTCAATGATGAATCATTGTAATCGGCCAAAAAAAAATCAAAAACTTAACCCCCCTCAAAATTTGAGGTTTTACGTTTCAGGATATGTAGAATTCGAAAATTGAAAAAAAATATTTTTTGTCCGTCAGCTGTCCGCCATAGCCGTAGCCATAAGCAGTATGCACATTTTCTCAATACCACCGATTTTTTTCAAATTTGGATTTAAGGTCAGAGGTCACCCGAGGATGATCCTCCTACATCAACATCACTATCTGCCGTTTCCTTTCAAGATGGTGGCCGAAAAACCTATGTTGCTATAGACTGTAGTGCCTAAACGAATTTACCGATTTCAACGAAACTTGGCTAAAGTCTTCTGTTTGATGCCCTTTAAATTTATTTGCATAACATACTTAAACGAAAAGAAGCAGAAAAAAAGTTATGAGGGGTAGTAAAATAATAATTCAAATAACTCAAAAAGTATACATTTTTATAATTAAATTCCTCAAAAGTATTTCAATTTCTTAAAATAATGAAGAAAATTTCATCGTAATCAGAGCTCTGTTCGTGAAGATACCACAATTTTAAAATATTTTTAGTTTATTACTTTCAATAATGAAGCATTGTAATCGACCAGAAAATAAAAAAACTTAACCCCCTCAAAATTTTATTATAAATTTACAGATTTGACTTACAATTTTAGATTTAAAAATCATCATTAAATATATAGATTTTTTAATGCACTTTAAACCCTTAACTACTTATCAAAAAATCAGGTAACCATTTTAGGATAAAACAAAATCTATTTAAACATATTGAAAACACCATGAAAAACGCATGCAAGGTTAAATAAATAAAAATTATGTCAGTAAAAAGGTACAGATAATAATGTTTAATTTACCCGTTCCTGTTTGTATACATTGTCAAAAAATTATATTACCTATATTCCTTAAGAAATTACACAAATCACTCCATTTCCTGCCAATGGAATACATGTTCTCTCAGTGAAATCTCAATGTAAACTTAATTAAGAAATCAAAGCAAGATTTCTTCTTAAAAAACACATTATAGGATATTCATTCTCAATTTGACTTTTACCTCAGAAAAAGTCTGTTTCATTGTCTTTAAAATTACCTTGCTGCATGTTATACCATATTTTTATTCAATATTAAATCTTAGTTCTGTACAAATAACACAAGTAAAATGGTTTTAGTGTTTTCACCTTTTGCCACTATAACTGACCCAGTCAAACTTTAATAATAAAAACAGTAAAATAGGCTTAAAGTATATCAGACATTTTGCTGCTAATTCTCTGGAAAATTATGCAAATTTAGAGTTGAAGCTTTATACTACCAAAAAGAGTATACAAAATTAAATAAAGATCAGTACAAAATTCAACAATGAAAAAGTGGAACCCAACCTTTTATCTCTTGAGGAACATATCTATATATTATACAGGTACTGATTATTTACATAGGTACATATAAAATCAATAAAAATAATTCAATATAAATTGTAATATAACAAAATAATGATGATTATCATATATAATGTAATATAGAATACACTTACATATTTGTAAGTTTGTTCTTTATAATTCTTTTCAGCTGTTTTTGGATCCCTATTATAAGGAGTTGAGATAAAGTTATTAAATCGTTCATTTTTCTTTTTTGAATTAGGAAATGTTTCTTCTTCTTTAATGGAAAAATTCGTTTGGCATCCTTTGTCTATATAAATAATTTAAAGCATATCAATTAATTTTTAAAAAAATGCAGATATTTGAGAAGATAAAGTTGTACAAACCTAAAGTTTTGAAAGGTTCATCCCAAGGTAAATCCTCATCATTACCAATTCTGAAATAAATTAAAAAAACTAATAAAAAATATTCAAGATATTCTCTATATTATCACAGTTATCTAATCTTTATTTATGAGAACATTTTTTTTTTAGAAAGTATAGCTAAACTATTTACTAAGGGCTTTTTATTTAGATTAAAGAAAAGTTATATCTGATTTTGGGAGATATTGTTAATAAAATATTTATAATGGTATGCCTTACGGTACAGCCACTGTGTCTCGCAAATGTGAAGACTCGCAATATGGATAATCCTTTATCCTAAAAGGTATTTTCCATACAGTAGGGGTTTCTTCACCTATATATATTTGTTGATCTCCTTTGATGTCTATATTTTTCACTTGAACTTTCTCTTGTTTGATTGTTCGTAAACTGCTTACCACATTCTGATTATATAAATGTACCTGAAAATAATTTTGACTAGAATCACCTATTCTACACTGGTTCTCTATTCATCATATATAACATATTGATTGGACTATTCGTGGATGCTTGAAACAGCATTGTACGTGCAAAAAGTACATTTTTGACACATATAAATCTGTTAGTACATTTTTTTTTTTTAATTTTAATCTTATTTATTGATAAAAACAAAACAAAAACACTTTACATGAATCAAAGTGACGAAAACTCTTGTACTTATCAAGATAGTCACACAAAATGCACAATATTATGATTTTAAGGAGAAAAAAATAATCAAATTTCTTAGTGTTCTAAGGTTATGAAAAATTACTTAATGACTACTTTGCAATAAACCCACGGTATACATTATTATTATAAGTTGTCCAAAATCTTGCTTTACAGCATAGAATTCCTGCTCCTCTATTTAAGATATCAATATTAAATAGAACTCTTGGGGTCACTAAAATATTAAATAAATATTTTCACTTTCAAGTTTTCCAATCCAAACTGAACATACGTAAGAGATTGATTAAAAAATATCAATTAATGGAAGTGAGGATAAATAATATAATATAAATAGATAAGTTTCCACAAATGTAAAAGGTCAGAGTTTAATAAAAAACAAATCTAAGACAGATTTATTAATTTTTGTAACCTTAATCAGCATTAATCCAATAATTCTATAGCTCATACTTAATAAAATTATTGATACTGTGAAAATGAAGTACCTGCTGACAAAAGTAAATAAATTCTTGGTATTTTGCTGCTCTATACAGAATTAAAACTTGAAAAATGGATTTTGCCTTCCAGCGATTGAAGTATCTCCTTATAAAAAATACCGTTTCATCATCTAGTTTACCTATTGGTATTTAAAATAAGTTTCATTTTAATCTTCATTTATTCATTGTTTTATTATAATTATTTATTTTTTTACAAAACCATTATTTTTGAAAATTATTTTATTTTTATTACCTGTTGAAACATTAATCAAGGGACCATACTTTTTCCTTGCTACATAACCTTTGATGTCTGAAATAAATACATATGTATATTATAGTGTACATCATGTTAATGATATATTGTGAAAATAATAATATGCATTTATTTTTAAAAAATATCCCTTTGGATCTAGTCATTTTAATAATTTGAATTAGTAATAAGTACTTACTTTTTTGGATGATTATTGCTGCTTGCTCATCGGACATTGCAATAAGTTCATTAGCTGAAATAAAAATTGTATATTGACACAGTAAAACTTCCGTCTTCATCACTTTATAAAAATAAATTAGAAAACAAGGTTTAACCAAAACTTCAAAAATTACAAGTTATTAATATATTTTTCTAAGTCCATATAAATAAACAGTTTCAGTCATGTAGATCATAACCACACTTACTTAATGGCTGTTAAATATGATCTCTAATTAGTAGTAAGCAGGATTGTAAATTAATTTTATACGCTCTATTTTCAATAGCATTGTATTGCTTATATTTTAGAACAATAACATTTTTTTTACATAGTGATTTATTAAACAATTGTAGGATATTTTAATGGAACTACTTATAGATTAAAAATTTAGTTAAATAACAAGAAATGTATTTTTGGAACTATTCCTCCTGGATGACGTCATTACCAGACTCAGTGATTGAAGGTGTTGATTTCAACTTTTTGTTTGCTACATTTCTTTTTGCCAAGAAAGCTCGAAGCATGGACTGGACCTTTACTATCTTCTTAACTTGGGTTTCATACATTCTGTAACAAAGAATTTAAATATTTATATAAAGATTTTATAATTTTGAGCTTACTTGAAAATAAAAATATTAATTATTTTTATGGTTATATTATATTAGTTTTGTTAAGTTCTTATCTGATTTGATCAGAAATTAGTAGATAATATGTTAGATAAGATCAATAGTCCCCGTTTATATATAACATAAACAGTCCTAGTTTATAAGCAGTCATTTATGGGTTCCAAAGGAGTCCTGCAACAGGCAGAAAGCAAGTGGACACCATCACCACTAAATTTAATAAAGCAACATTTTCAGTTGGCAGTTCATGAGAGATTTTAAAGTTACACGAGTTAATCATTTTCCAAAAGAGATGAAGACATTTCTTTGCAATAACCTGTCTGGCACAGCTTCATTATTCGACATCATTGTTTCAAGCTAGAATTTACTAAATGCCTTTATACATACTAGAGCTTGCCTTGGGATAGAGCTCTGGAGTCACATTTACTCACAAACAGGAGAAATTCTGGCCCTACTTTCTTTGGTGCTACAGCTCTCTAGCGAATCTCTCTGCTATATTCTCAGCATTGTCGCAATTCCTTAATATTGATAAAGATTATATAGTAGGCATTGGTAGTTACACTGTTTTTCCTGTAAATATGTCCTCTTGCCCTATTCCATTGTTCTGTATGGATGTATCATCAATAAACTGGTAAAATCATCATGCTCATTTATTATCCGTGTTACACTTAGGATCTATTACATGCTAAAGTATTTTTCTCTCTCATAAAATCGGGCTCCTGGAGTAAAGACAGCACTCTAAAAAGGCTAACTTATATCAATAAAAAATAAAAAATAATTTTCTTTTTCCATCTGTTACACTAATGGATAATACATTTAAACTAGAAGTGCAGACTACGATAGTCAATTGGGAAGATTCTATATTTTTGAAATCAAAATTAGAAGGAGTTATAATTCTAATACATATTTATATTCACCTTGATAAATATTCTTCATTGTAATATTTCAGGAAAACTTTGGAATTTCCTAAATACCATCCTTCCAGTTTCAAGCGAATCATTAACAGGCGGCAGTTATCTCTTGTTTTTTCAACTTCTTCATCAAAGTCAAAAGCCAAAAACTGATATCTATAAAAATTAAGAATAATAATACTGTATTATAAATAACATGATTGTACTAGTACTAAATAGTTATTTTCATTCATCTTCTAAGACTAATTCTGCAAGACTAAAATAAAGTGAAATCATATCATTAATCATATTTTCAAATTCTATCATTATTACTTCTAATAATTAATAAGTTAAACTAATAATAATAACCTGATTATGTAAAGATTCTTTAAATTATGCTAGTTTAAGTTAAATTATTAGGTTTTAAAACTTGCTTTCTGACTCACCGGTCCAAACATTCTGCAAATGTAATCCTGTGAGAATAGCCCAACTGTCTAGCTTTCGCTGTATCAATAACTGATAGGGCCCGTAGCTGTTGCCTAATGATACCTTGCTGGAAACCTCCAGGAGTACCCTGAAGATCTGTTCTGATGCAACGAACAAAATAGGAACTACCTGATGCTAAAGATTTCAATATTTCAAGAGAAGTTGATTTGAAAATGGCTGCAGCAGTTCTTATACCCCTTGTTTGAGAAAACTCTCCCTTTGAAGCTGTATTATAAGGCTAAAATATTAAAATTCAATTGGAAAAATAATGGAAACTATTATTATTATTAAATAAAACTTATATCTTGGGTTTACATAAAACATACCCTTGCAGTCCTATTTGGATCCGCTAGTAATGCTGATCCCCAACTTTTCTTCTTAACAACACCCATACTGGTTATAATGTTAGATGTGTTAATTGTAAGGTTTCCTGTTCTATTTAATTTGTTAGTGAAGAGCTGTTTAATGTTATTGTTAGCTGAGCATCTTAGAATTTCTGTTAGTTCTGGCGGTAGGAAGTCTCTATTCTTCGTGCACATAGTTGTTGTTTGATATCTCACTTTTCCTGTGTAATGAGCAACAAAAAATTCTTCCTCTCCACATGAGAGAATGCGAGATCCTTCACTTTTTTTGTCAAGAGCATCTGTTAAAAAAAATTAATCTATGAGGATATATTATCGATCTCAAATTTATTGAGATGTTTGACAAATTCTGTATAAGTACTAAAGCTATTTGAGTTAACATTTTTTGAATAATACCTATTATATATTCTGAATCCATATTGAGTTTGTTTGCTTCATCTAAAATACGCATTAAACCATTTGGTTTATTGAATAGTTCATCCATGGTATCCCTATTATTGTAAAATTGAAACTTCTTTAGTTGTATTTCTTCTTCCTCTTCTTCTTCCTTATCAAAATTTTTATTTCTTATATAAACCCAAATACATTAATTCTATCAATTAGAGAAATGGTACTTACTATTTCAGATATAAATATTTTTTGGTTATAATAATACTGAAGTTGTTCATTCAATGCATTTACAAAAAGTTGTTCAAGTCCGTTTTCATCGTAGCACTCAAAACCAAATATATCCAATATTCCAATGAAATGGTGATCCCCACTAATAAATTAATAATGACAACAAATAGTAATCAATAATTAAAATTTAAATTGTGAAAACAACTAAATGTATTACTTACTATACAGCTCTTAAAAGTGACATTTTGTAATTAATCAAGTTAATGATCCAATCAACTACTCGTGCATATAATGTTTGTGCTAGAACATTTCTTGCTGCGATGGCCTCTGAAATAGAATGTTTTCTTCTTGCTGCTGTGTCTTTTTCAATAACACAGTAATTACAAAGTGCCCAAGTCAATCTTTTGCCATCAATTTCTAACAAGGATGCCACTAAAATAAAATAATAAAAATATGTATTCAGAACAAAGGTATGAATAAACAAAAATTTGGTATAATATAAATTTAAAATTATCTTTACATTAAGAAAAATAAAGATTAATAAACAAAATGCAAATAGGCTGCTTCAGTACATGGACAGATTTAACGTTCAAGTTGTATCATAGAGCTTATTGGATTAATGTGAACTATATTCTGCTTCTCTACCTCAATGAGAGGATTGGAGGATGTATAGAATCTAAGATATTCTACTATTTTTATCATTCCCTGTACCAAGAATCCAGCAACTTCAAACTTTATAATATTACTAGCTTTACCAGAACATGCACTGCTGTGGCTTAGTCTGGCAAAATAGAAAAGAAAAAAATATCATATTAACACCAAAGAACATCTGTTATTTTAAAAAAGTTGGGAAACAAATTCGTCTGTAACATGGCTTCAATTTAAACTACTTCTAATGATTTTTTTTTCATGATTCAAATTGAACATTCTTAATCATCAGAATCAGTCTGAGTTGAAGTTATAAAACTAAAATTGACTTTATCTCCGCTTTCTGAAAATGACAGAGATCCGTCTTTGATATGAAGCCACTCATATATATTCATGTTTAATTTTATTATTATTTTTTTTATATTTAATGTATTGTTTAATATTGAACTTTGTATTGATTATTTTATGGCAAATAAAAATGTAATTGTTGGTTTGTTCAAACTCTTAAATCTCGGAAAGTTCTTCACACATTGCCTTGAAATTTTGGCTTAACATTTCATGAAAAAAAAGAAAGGGAAATGGCTTTTTCTGAAGATAAAGTAGTAAATGTTTAAAACTCTTGGAGAAAAGAGGCATTGAACAAAAAAAATTTACATTTTTTTTTTTTACACATATAACATTATTGTAAGATAGAGGTACTATGCCAGAAACCTTCGGGGGTGTGTACACAACAACTTCCTAAAGGTTCATGGCGATTGGATGAATGGTTTAGTAATGCATAAAGGACAAACAGACAGACATACATTCATTTTTAGATATATAGATGAATCTACTTATTTTATTTTATGATTCTACAAAGTTCTTAACTGCCATTTATTCAGTTAATTGGATAACGAATTTTTAAGGCTGAGCAGACCCTTTTGTTGATAATAATTTTTAAATAGTAGAAAATTATTCAGTGCACCTTGAATTGAATCCCTGTTTCCAAAAGTTCATTGACCAGAAACAGTTGAACATAAATTAAAACAAATTGTAAAAGAAGGAGATAGATTGCACTAAATTGATAAATTTACAATTAATAATTAAGATATTATTGCAAGAAAACTGCAATACTGGGTACTTATAGATTATGAGTATTATTTCTAAAGTACATAATAAATAATGTAAGATTATTTTTACTGATAAATAAATATTTATAATTATATTAACTATTCCTTAATAGAGAATATAAATAAGTAAAAAATAGTTTAAACATGTTTTGAAAAGTCCTTTCATTTCTCAATGTAAGTAATGTTTTAATGCAAATTGTTATACCTTTATCAACAACATCGACATCTTTAATATCTGCATTGCCGTCTTCATCTTCTTTATATTCAATCTCTCCTAATAAAATTATGGCTGCAAGAATCTTCCAAATGAGATCCTGCTCTGATTCCTCAAACTGAAGTGCAGTAAGGCTTTCTTTTAATTTCCTAAAGCATGCTGCATTTGTTTCAGGTCTGTCTCGTGGACCTAATGGTGCTTTGTGATCCACATCTTCCTCAGAAATTTCTCTTCTAAAATAACAGTAAGATTTTTCCCTTTCTAGCATATATGTTTCTAGATTTCCTTCTGAAGATAAGCCATCATATAAATAATAAAATATGTGGAAGTTTGCATGGTATGGAGATCTAAAAAGGTACAGATATATTTTAATAAATTATTTTGATAAATCATACTAGAACTACAGGGATATTTTATAATTGTATTATGTAGAAATACACTACCTGTTTCCTGTTACTCTCCACTTTTCCAACTGATAAAGCCAAAATATGGCTCCAGAGATTTTGCCTGAATTTGAAAATGTTATTTGGGTGTAAAGGGCATGTCTTGTAGAATTATCATGAAGTGGTGTAGCAGCATTTCCAAATGCTTGGATTACTTCAACAGCTTTTTTTATTTTATCACTTATTTGCTTACCATTCTGAAATGTTAAGAGGAATAATTAAATTAATGTAATCTTATCAATTATAAATGCTAAAGTGAGCCAATGAACTGTAAAAGCCTGACAAAACTCTAATATCAATACTCAGCTATGAAAAGCTGGTTTATTGTATTGGAAATGATTCAGAAAATGTCAAATAGACTATATACTTTCAAGAAAAGTGCATAGGAGAGGAGGAATGAGGAACAATTTTCCACTTTCTAGTATTTACGGCATCAACCTGGCTGGCTATGACTTCAAATCAGCAGGACCAAATATTTCATTGCGGTCTGGGCAGGTACTCTTTAGTTACCCCTCCCTCTTTTCTCTGCTCCCCCTAAATATTAAATTACAAATTGAAGCTTATTTATTATCAGTTTTAAACATTAACTTGCAACTAATTATTATGTTTTTTTTAAAGACACTGGTTTTGAGACTTTTTCTTATTTAAAAATGGTTGTTGAAATCTGGTAAGGCTGTTATAACATTATATAATAACATATACAATATATTGTTATAAATTAGGAACAAAATAACCAAGAAACATAACATAAATGTTAGGTTATTATTGGAAAAGTTCCAAACGATACAGTCTTTTTTATTTCTAAAATGCAGGTAAAGAAAAACTCGCCAACATTTTTGCTATTCAGCCATCCTCAGGACAGAAAAAATAAACAGCTAATTAAACATCACTCCATGAAATCCAATTGCATCTAATTGGAGTGATCACATTGCATCTGTATGCGATTGGATTTAATGGAGTGATGTTCGATTAGCTGTTTTTTTCTATCCTGATGATGCCTGAATTGGCAAACCATTGACAGGTTTTTCTTTGCTTGCATTTTGGAGAAATAAGGCTGTACAATTTGGAATTTTTCCAATAATAACCTAATATATAATATGTTGTTTTATAACATATATTATATAAAATACGGTGTAACATTATCATAATAAATCATGAGTTAAACTTTGTTGTAAATCAAAATTTTTCCTTGAATCTGTCCATGTTAAGATCATTGTACGATAAGTTAGTGCGAGGATGGTAAACCTCTTTTTGTTTTTATTTAAATGTGTAGGTTTCGACATGAATTTTTTAAAATCCAATCTTTTATGTTTATTAAAAATTTTCAGGTCCATTTTTCCCTCTCAAAAACTGAATCTCTGGGTAAATTCTTAGTCTGCTCCTTTTAAATTAGGGCCTGTAAATCATTTAGACTTGTGAAAATGGCAATGATGAGTAATATGCTGTTTGTGGGGTATCCACAATTCATGAACAATTTTCAAATGCCAATATGTTGGGTATGTTGTTGTTTTGGACAAGTGAAGAAAACATCCAGTTTGAAGTTACTTGTCAATACTAAATAATGTCTACCATAATATTTCAACTAACAGCCAAAATATTAAATTTTATCAAATGAATCATCTTTCTGTTTAACCAAGTGGACCACTATTAAAAAAAAAAATGTATACCCAGCCAAGAAAGAGTAGATGATTGATGATATGCTTAAACTGCTGTGTTTTACCAGACATGATTTCTCCAGAGATTACAATATGCTGAGGAGTATTGTGATGTAACATATTTTGATAAGCGCTGTCTGCTATTGAAAATATGTGCGGCTCATTATCAGATCTGGACTTGAATTTATATTTGCTGTAGAACTGAAACAACAAAAGAAAACTTTTTAGGCTTAGATTTTTTTTTAGAAAATTTGATATGTTATATTTTACAGAAATTAATATTAAATAGTTAAATGTAAGTATTTATGCAAAATAACAGCTATGAATTTTAATGAAATGAATTGATAAACCTTTCAAATAACTATTATCCATTTAACAAATCTGTCATAAATGATTAGGAAAATTACCAAATAAAATATTTTATCTATTTATTTATGTTTTATTTTTCATATTTATGTAATTAAATGAAAATTAGAGAGAATGTCAAATAGAGAGGTATAAAGCAGTGTACTTGGATGAAAGCATAGTTGTAGAGCCTAGAAATTTGTTAAAATGGTTGTGAATTAACCACTATACACTGACTTTTTTTCCAGGAAAGAGCAGGGAGCAAAATATTATTTCAGAATATACAGTTATTTTGATTTAAAAACTACCATCCACAATCTTAAAAAAAAATTACCTGATATCCATAAATATCCAATAATTTGTTAGGATTAAGGAAAAGTAAAACATCGCCAATAAATGTGTAGGTATCGTTCTTTCTATATCTTGCTTCAAGCTGTTCAATAATGTTATCTTCAGTGATTTTTTCTAGAGCTGCCATGTCTGCCACACACATTGGTTCTTCATCTAAGCTTGGCCCTTTCTATAAAAAATGTTAGTATCATTAAATTATTGGAAAATAAATATGAGTTAGTTTAGCATATTATTCATAATGCAATATCTAATGAGGTTATCACCTATACATATATTATTACCTTTAAATATCCTTTTCGAATACTGATTTCTGTTGATCTGTTGGCTAAGTCTTCACTTGTTACATTTTCAAGTAATGATTTGAGTTCTGCATTTAGCTGGAACAATAAAATATAAAAAAAGATAAAAAAAAAATTAAACATAAATTAGCTGCAGAAAAGAAATATGTTATTTTACATGAAAGTCATTTTCTGGTAATTGTGTTATGAAAGGATGCTCCATTATCTCCATCAAGTATGGTCTATGCTCAGGATTTTTCTCAAGGCACCTGTAGATTTATTTTCAATCATAAAAAAAATAATAATATTAACATTAACTATATATATATATAATACAGTTTAATAACTACTTTACTGAGAAATACATCTTACTCAGCTATAAAATCATTGTAGTTTTGAGTCCAGTTTGCTGGCCTATAGAGAGTTGGTGGTGGGTTCCTAACGATTTGGAAAAGTGCACTTGTTGGATGCATGTCCTGAAATGGAGCTTTACCATCTCCTAACTCAATTGCTGTTATACCTGAATTCAGAAATTAATAAACCTAGTTCTTACATATTACTTAATATGTTATAACATGTCATTAAAAATATATTATTACCAAGTGCCCATACATCTGCCCTGTTGTCATAAGCTGTTTTGTTACCTTTACATTCAACAACCTCAGGTGCCATCCAGGATGGAGAACCTATTGATGTTAAGCATCTTCCTAAAGTGCTTGATAGTTCCCTGTGATGGAGAGAACAATGTTTATAAATTAACGCAAAATTAAAAAAGGGTTATAAGCAAGCTGATGCACTGCAACAAAAAGTAGTTTCACAAACTCATTATGATATATTATCATAGTCAGGGATGTCCAACCCTCTCTTCCCCAAGGCCAATGGTTGCCTAAATCTTCCCTCACCCCACCCAATATATTTTATTCCTCTCTTGTTCTTAAAAACAGCAGCAAAGAAAGTAGAATTTAAATGTTCATAGATTATATACAATTACACCTCCTGCTGTATGTTCAATGATCCCTCTTGTCTTTTAAATTGAAACTTTTCATTTTGAAAATTCATAACCCCATCGAAATATGCCCCCCTCATAAATTTTGATGGCACAACCTGTGCCATGAAACCCCCTTCTGGACACGCCTGATCATAGTAAATTTGTTTTCATAGATTAACGGATAGGTATATTTTTTCCTTCTGCAAAAAAAAAAAAAAAATAATAGAGCTTTTACTTCCCAAGGACTTCCAATACTACAAGAACTGAACAAGGATTCGGACAAATACTACTGGTTATCTCAGAGAGTAACCTACGACTGATACTTCAGTCTTAAATTTAAATTTTTTGTTGAAATGTTAGTTTTTATAGGTTTTAATTTTTTTTTTTTTTGGTCCTTCCGTGCCTTTTTAGGTCATACGGATGTTTTCCTGGGCCAGAGGGTAAGAGCGAGGGTTAATTTCAGAGTTATGAGACACTTTCGGCAGCGATATGCGAACTCGTAATTATTTTAATCAAATTATCTCATATATCAGGTTGTCGGGCAAGGCGGTGCTGTGCACACGCGTTAGCCCACTCGGCCACCCCGCCCCGTTTTAAAAATATATGTATTTTTTTTTCTATGTGTATAATGATATTTCTTTTACGTAATTACTCAATAAATAAATAATTTAAGTAGTTTTAAATTATTTTTAAAAACTAATTTGTTGAGAATAGTTCCACTATCTGTTTTACTTCATTTTGTTTAAAAATGGTGGCTGATTAGAGGATTACAAAACATAGTATTACAATTTTGAGAATTACAATACAGAACGAGGGTTACAATTTCTTTCAAAACCTTGAGCGGTGTTTTAGGAGATGATTAAAATGCTAAACACCATTCCTGGGGAGAACGACTCTGTACTCCCAGAGAAAGACTAAAGTCTGCCATCGATCAGCTTTCATTAAACTCGATCTCATCTGATACACCTATTTATTGGTCAACTCCTAGACAGAAAACACCAGACCTACTTGACTTTTTCGTTACTAAAAGACTCAGGACAGTGCAGTTTATTTTAACTGCGAGCTCTGATCTTTGTTCTAATCATTCTCTTTTCAGTTTGGTATTATGTGACGAGCCTCGTAGTGAAAAAAAAAACATCATTTGTCGCAAGGACATCATGTTGGGAAGTTATAGCGACTGCTTAAATTCGATGTTTCCAATCCCAATGTCTCTCAAGACCGAAGTTGAACTCGAAGAAGACCTTGAAAAGTTTACAAGCAGCTTACAACAGCCTTTATGGTCATGATCTGTACAAATGCCCAGCAGAAATACAGGCAGTGTCGATTCTCTGACCGCTACTCTAATAGAAGTTACAACAATCTTGACAAGACATTATAATTCAACATACGCCTCACAGACCCTAAAATATCACCTAAACAAATTACACGACTGGTGCAAACTCTGGAAAATTCGACTCAACCAGAACCAATCACAACATATCGCTTTTACCCTTCGACGTGAAATGTAAAAAATTTACCTCGACTATGGCCAAATTACTCAGACTGACAAAGTTCAATATCTAGGACTGATATTTACAGAGGAATGACATGGGACCCATATATCAAGAACAAAACAAAAACTGTAAACCTAAGACTACGACTATTATACTCACTCATTTCAAGATATTCGAAATTAAAACTTAGACAGAAGTTAAACAAATATACTTATCTACTTAAGCCCATTTGGATCTACGCTTCACTGACATACAGGACAGCCAAAAAGACTTACATACATAAAGTACAGGCTTTTCAATCAAAAACTTTCAGGACTATCACCAATGTTTCTCCGTGGTACGTCAGTAACATTACTTTACATAAAGACCTGCATATTCCAGCAGTTGACGACCACATACGGGCATACTACAAAAATTTCATAATATCTTACACGGACTTACCAACTCACTGATTCGGGACATGACCACAACTAACATGCCCCATAGCACCCATAGAAGGCTCAAAAGAAGTTGGATGAGGGATCTCCTCTACTAGCTGCAAATATACAATCAAGATAGCAAGGAAGCCGCTGAGCACTCCCCTCCCTCACGCCTATTCCATGACCTATTGCTTATTCTAAACCTCGCCACCACATACGCTGATTGTCGGAACTTCTGACAGGTGCAAGTTAAAAAATAAAGTTAATAAAAAATATGTCAGGGATTTTTCAATATATGCAAATAAATAAAAAAAAAATTAAATTTAAACTTTTCTTTAATAGAAAACTAGTTTATTAATTCTTTATGTAAACTTTATTTTTGAAGATTTCGCATCAAATTTTCAAAAAAGACTTTTATGGGTCTTGATAATGACCAATAGTATTGATAAGATAGAAATGACTGATGGGAAAATCACTGGCTCATGTTGGCAGTCATTTTAGCGATTAAGATGATAATTCTTAGCTGTGAGAATTATATCTCAAAATAGGAACCAAATCTGGACTATCCGTCGATCTTACAAAGAGATAATGGTGGAAATACAAAAAAATTGAAGAAAAAATAGTACTTCTATAACTCATTCTACGTTCTTTAGACTCCAATTCCTTACATTGTTTTTAGGCGTTGATTATACCATTCCGCAATTCTTAGACGTTGGGAAGGTGATGATTAATAAAATTAACTTGTTAATACATGTTGAGTTTAACGCCGTTTGTACTTAAGTAGTACACTAATACACTTTAACAGGAGAGGAAAGCTAGGTTATTCTAAAAAAAAAAAAAAAAAAATTGCTTAAATGAAATGCAAAAGTCTTTGAATTCTGTCCAACTTTAAACAATATATGTATATAAAAAATGGTGCTCTTGAAAAACAAAAATGCAAACTACTAAGAAAATAAACCCACATCAGCTCACTTAATTTTAATTTAAATAAATATAATTGTTGTCCTAATATAGAAATTGAATCAATTAATAATTTGAGATGTTGTTTAAGATTTAAAAAAAAAAATTACTTGGATATTCCAAAATCAACCAGCTTCACTTCTCCATTTTTTGTTAGAAGTATGTTGCTACCTTTTATGTCTCGATGAATTACGTGATTCTCGTGTAGTTTTTGAATAGCCTGTAAAATAAAATTTATGGTCAATACGTAGGGATAAGTTTTTTTTTTTTGATTTTTTATAAATAGAAATAAGGATAGATTAGGTTTTAATAGTAAGATAAATTTCTAGAATCTATGTTTTAGAAACGGATCAAGGATTGGGAAAAATGTACAAAAATTAAAATAAAGTGTAACTAAATATAAGTGTACAATGGTAAAATTCCGAATGGTATAGTTTGGTTTCGTAAAATCGAAAGAAAAGAATATAATTTCATTCACTAAGATTTTCATTAAAAAACTGTCTACGGTAATATTTGTCAAGAGGATTTCGCCATCATGCAAAAAAAAAAAAAAAAAAAGAAAAAGAAAAAGTTATTTCCCAAGTTCATAATAATAGCAAGTGATCTGTCATTTGCGAACATTTTGTGGATCTGTCTTTAGGAAAAATGATATTATCATTTATTAGTTTATGTGACCCAGTAGTAAAACGTACGTTTTATAATTAATATTTTATAAAGTATATTGGGTTATATACTACAAATACAGCTTCAATATTTATAAATAATTCAGATCAATAAAAATTCTGTTAAAAATTTTTGGACAAAACAAAATAAAGACATTGCTCACACTATTATGAACAATTAATCCCTAACGAAGAGTACAGTTAAGGATCGCAGATTATCACCCCTTACCGTACTACGCGAGTAAAGGGGCAACTGACATCACTCTCTTATCCATTATGTTTTCTAACCTTATCCTTCAACTCTGTTCTATTCCCTGATAATGCTATCTCCACTCCTACTCAATGTTTATTATAAACAAGGCAGAGGTTGTTTAGGACAATTTATTTAGGGTTAAGAGAGTGAACACTAACAAAAATCGTGATCCTTCAAGTTTAGGATTGAGCGTGGTGCCAGTCACTGCACCATTTCATGAAAAAAACTCATTAAAGACCATAGCATAACCGAATAAAGAACAAAGCATAACCGAAAGAATAAAATGGAAAAGACGTAGCGTTTGGAATGTACCAATCCAATTTGATTGGGCGGTATCTGGTGATTTCAGGCATCATGAAAAGGATTTAACCAGCTAGACAACTAACCAATGCTTCTAAAAAAAGTATAATTGAGGTAAATGATGAAGTATAGCAACACCAAGTTATGATGATGGAAGAAAAGTTAAAGAGCAAAGGGTGGCATAAAAAGAGCTTAGAAAGTTTGCAAGATAGGTATAGACGAAGAAATCTTGAGAATGGAAGAAGAGTAACATTTTCCTCGTTCGATGAAGAATGCGAAAAAGTAAATGACAAGAAGAACTCATGTGGAAAAATTATCCAAAGGTAGCAGAAATTGGAGTAAGTCACAAGAATTTGCCATCCGATGAAAATGAAATAAATGAGGCATTAAATTATAATCAAGAACGATTTAAAAATTGTAAAATCCTAATATATTATGACATTGAATTAGAGCTTGGGACCGTAGAGTAGTGGAAGTCATACAAGATACCCTGCAGTTTTGAGAAAATGAGGTTGTACCAAGTATCTGGAGTAAACCTATGATTGTTCAAATTGGGAAAATGGAAATTATAGTAGGATATCACTACTTTTTAATAGTTAAAATATTGCTTTCGTATGAGTAATTATTAGGCTGGGTTCTAAAATAATATCTCCACTAGCTCAGAATAAACATTCTCGATCACGTATATTCCGGAAAAGGTGAGATAATAAAATATAAAAGTTCCTTTCCTATTCATTGATTATAAGGCAGATCGTTACAATTTCAAAAGCTCTTCTTGTACTGGCTATTCCACAAAAACTTATTTGATTTATTAAGGAGCCTATGAATGGAATTGAATAAGCTCTAAGCCAAGAAGATATCACCAAAGGGATGGCTGGCATCTGAAATGTCTAATCTGTCTTGGAAATGACCCGAATGAGATGAGAATGAATGTGCACGTCTCTGAGTGCTAATAATAAATAAATAAGGACCACAGGCCCAAGGCTAGGATCAACATGCCTTTTTCAGTTTTGAGTAATTTTTACTTAAAAGTATTTTTTTTTTTAAATCAGTTTCCTTATTTACATCTAATGGTAGGAAAAGTATTTGACAATTTCTTTTTCTTGAAAATTTAACTAATTAAACGGTTTAAACTAGTTGTATCAAAAGCAAGAAGACTCCTCATTTTATTACATAATTTAGAAGCTGAAATGTTTGAGAAATATTTCATAATTGTTTTAACACATCTGCTAAAGAGATATCTGGAAAATGTCTATTTAATAAAAATAAATTTGTATTTAATTTTGAAGCCGTGATCTATCTCAAACTGTGTTTGGATCATCTGCAACAATATTTTCGAATGTATTATTTTCTTTAAACAAACAGAACACTTCTTTGGAAGGTTCATTTGCCATCATGATAAAATTCTGAATTATCTCTCTCAAACTGTCAGAAAATAGTCATAATTATTTGATATAGGATTTTTTCGAAATCATATTAGTAATATTTGATAGCCTAATGAAACTTTGACCTTTGGTGTTCCCATCTGCTTTATGTAGTAATCAACAGAAACTCAACATATTGCAGGCGTCCTTTTTTATTACTTGAAGATGGGAAGGATTTCTGTTGAGTGACAGAGACAAAGTTAGGTTGACCACGTGCCGAAAAATAGGCATATCAGGGCAACTAATGAGTGTGTATGACTATGTTGGGCAGCTAATCGTAGACGAAGGTAATGAAATGTAGAAAGGGCTGATGGATTGCAGAACATCCATCGCAAGAGTAATTACGTGCTCTGGGGTCGTTGGGTCTGTCACAGTCAGTTGATGACGGGCATCTATCAGAGTGCCTCCACTAACGACTACCTTAATTACAAATACACTAAACGAGGGCAGCCTCACCTTACAGTATTGTTTCCGGCAGCGACGCCTTTCCTCTAGATCCTTATGTCGTTATCCCTCACAGCTGCTCTCTTATTCATGAAGTTATCTATTAGCGCTCCACTAAATGCTATCTGTTAATGAGACGGTCAGCTCGGGGATCCGTTTAGTTTTGCTTCATTTAAGGTTGTTCCAATGTCGTCACGACCGATGCCTTATGGTCGGTAATAAGCTACGCTGACTGGCCTGGTATCTTAGAAATCCCACAGATCAATATATCAGTGTGAGTCCAAAACTTGCAAGATTAGTTCGTTTACAAGACTCAGCTCCAAAATAATTCAAGTTGTTTGAGATACTGGACACTTGTCCTATACTAGTTACAATATTATCCTCATTATATATTTAAGAAACACACAAGACAAGTGATTGATCCGTAATGAAAAAATACTTCAATTTATCATATCCATGTTGAAAACACTTAGTAATGAAAAACTTTCCATTCAGTTCCGGTGACTCTCTAAGCGCATTGGTTTTGCTGCTTCATGTTTTTCATTAAAGTTGTTCTTAATTCTATTTTTTATTTACACAGACTGTACCTTCTCTTATTGTTGACATATTGCGGCTTGATGATATTGTATTAATTTCAATTTTAAATTCGAACGTTATATTTAAAGCTAAAGGGTTATGACATTAAATAAATATAGCTAATGAATTTATTTAATATAAGACAATATGGCGTATGGATTTTACTTTTTTTTTTTATTATTAAAACACTTTATTCAGAAATATTACAATTTGTCACAGTTTAAGGACACTTATAATAGAGTTCAGAGATTGCATTCATACCGTATATACAAAAATATAAATAAATAAAGTAATAACAAAAGAATAAGAAAAAAGAACAAAAGAGTAAAGAAAAAAAAATATATATATATACACATAAGTAAATAAAAATAGAAATAAAAGTAAAACAAACACCTTATATAAAACATACCTATATACATTATTTACAATTTGCCAGGTGATCTCCGAACCAATCCTGTCCCCTCCACATGTGGAGGGAAAAGGGAGGCTTAGGAGATCCCTACGCTTCTCCCTCAGCCACTTCACTGGTATTTTAAACCAGCGGAGGATGAGTAAGAGCGCTACAGCCACAGACACTCATGACTTGAGTGGAGAATCTGGCCATTGCTAGAACTCCAAAATATCCATATTTACAAAAGGTCTCGTGGCCACTGCCGCTTTAACCTACGAAGGGGATTGTAGGGATGGGTGGTGCTTGATAGGGATTGTACAACGGGATTTGGGTGATGAGAAAGGTTCTGGTGAAATTTGGAAAATTTGGCTGGGATAAGATCAAGAATAAATGGGATATTAAGGTCATGGTGTAGGGTTTTATTGGTTACATAGAAGGGAGCATTGACTATTGTACGGAGGACTTTAGACTGAAAGGATTGAATGCGTTTGATGTTAGAAAATTTGGCTGTTCCCCATAGTTCTAGTACGTAAGTCCAGATGGGTTTCAGTATTGTCTTGTAGATCAGTAATTTGTTTTCACCAGAAAGTTTAGATTTTCTATTCAGTACTCTATATAGCTGGCCATATCGTCTGTTAAGTTCCTGTCTTTTAAGTCTAGTATGTGGATTCCATGTTAGTCGTCTGTCTAAGAGAAAGCCAAGATACCGGACTGTATCTGAGAAAGGAAGCTGGATGGAGTTAAAATAAACTGGTGGGCAGGTATTACGCCGAAGGGTGAAGGTAATGTGTTTACATTTAGATTCGTTTACCTTAATGCGCCATTTCTTACACCAGTGTTCAATCAGGAAGAGGTGCCTTTGTAAATTTGCGGACGCTGTTTCAGGATCTGAGTTGGAAGAAAGGATAGCAGTGTCATCAGCGAAAGTTGCCAGGAGGGTATCGGGATGGACAGGAATATCAGCGGTAAAAAGAATGTAAAGGATGGGGCCCAAGACGCTGCCTTGAGGAACGCCAGCCTCAATTGAGTAACAGTCGGAGAATTCGGTGCCACAGCGAACTCGGAAGGGGCGGTCGGAAAGATAGGATCGGAGTACTAGGTATAAGGACTGTGGTAGGTGGATTTTAAGCTTGAAGAGTAATCCGGCGTGCCATACCCGGTCAAAAGCTTGCGCTATGTCCAGAAATGCACCCGAGCAATACTGCTTGCTTTCTAGGGTTGAGGATATATGGTCAACAACTCGGAGTCCTTGTTGACAGTGGAATGTTGGGAACGAAATCCGAATTGATGAGTAGGAAGGTTATAGGATTCAATTATAGGTAGTATTCGTTTCAGTAGGATCTTTTCAAAAATTTTTGAGAGGATTGGAAGTAGGCTAATTGGTCTATAGGATGCTGTATTGTTGCAAGGTTTGCCTGGTTTCAAGAAGAGGACGATGGTGGAATGTTTCCATAAAACAGGGAAGTGGGTAGTTCGTAGGATGCAATTGTATATATATGTAAGAAATATGATGGCTTTAGATGGAAGTTGTCGAAGGATCTGTGGGGTTAGAAGGTCATATCCAGGAGATTTGCGAGGAGTGATTTTCCGTAAAAGGTATTTGACCTCAGAGGGATTAACAGCTTTAGGTGGTAAGGAGAGTGGGATAGGTATTGAGAGGGATTCTTCTACTTTTACTGTGTGGCTGGGATGGGATTCTGGATGAGGAGCGAAAGTATAGGAAAGGTGTTTGGCAAATTCCTCGGCTTTATCTTCATCGGATGCTGCCCAGGAGCCATCATCTCGTCGAAGAGGGTGGAAAATATGATGGGATTTGAGGATTTTTCTGGAGATATTCCAAAGGGAATTATCATGAGCAGAGAGTGTGGTGAGGTAGGAATTGAATGATTGGGATCTGAAGGTGGCTAATTCTTGTTTTAATTTTTTACAGTGATAATTGTAGGAGTGGCGGTCGGCTGGATGTCTGGTACGTTGCCATAATAATCTGGCACGGCGTTTTATGTGGATTAGGTCAAGGAGGTGTTGAGGTAAATTATGTTTCTTAAGGATTTTTGAGGAGTGATCAGGGGAGGAAGCAGTCCAGACTGCTTCTTGAATTTTGGTAGTGAAGGAATGTACTGCATTGTCCAGGTCTTCAGGGGTTTTCAGGGTTACTCTGAGGTCAATTTTATCGGAGAGGATTTGATGAAAGAGTTTCCAGTTAACTGGGCCTCTGATGAAGGACGGAGGAGAGGGTTTAGGAATAGGAGCTAGTGATACTTGGAGTATTAATGGGCTGTGGTCTGAGGAAAGCTCGTCAAGACGGGCAACGGAATGGTTGAGAGCACCTAAACCATTATGGATAAAGAAATCGAGGATATCGGGATTACGGTTAGGATCAGTGGGCCAGTAGGTAGGTGAGTTGGGTGGAAGAAGGGTAAAATTTTGGAAATTGAGTACAGACAGCAATGTTCGACCACGAGAATTCGTGGTTCTTGAACCCCATTGTTGATGCTTGGCGTTTCAGTCTGCACCCAAGATGAAATGATGTTCTAAGGAAATGAGGAAGGAACTAAATTGGATATTGGAGATGGATTGGTTTGGAGGGCAATACGCTGATGCAACGGTAATAGGAAAGGAGAAGGTTTTGATTACGACTGCGGTCGATTGTAGGAAATCGTGTGTAGGCAGTGGGAGTAGGTGATGGGAAAGGGATTGGTGCACAATGACTGCAGTACCGGCATGTGCTCTACCGTCAGGATGGTCGGTACGGTAAGTTATGTATTGTGGTATTTTTAGGAGCTGTTTTTTAGTCAGTCGAGTTTCCGTTATTAGGGCTACGTCTATGTTCTTGTCTTGTAGTAATGCTGTTAGTTCGTGTATGTGATTTCTAACACCATTCGCATTCCAAAGGAGAATGGATATGGGTTTGATGGAAGTCATTTAAGGATTTTTTAAAGGAGGGATAAGGTGAGATACTAGGTTAGTGAGAAGTGATATCAGTGGGGTAACAAGGGATTTAAATTCTGAAAGAAAGGATGTCAATAAGCTGGTTAGATCTGTAGCATTAGGCGGTGGAGGAACATATTGGATTTGATGTTGGTGAGGTTGTTGTTGATTAGGTACATTAGGTGGGATAGGATATTGAGATTGGGGTTGAGTTTGTTCTTGCGGCAGGGCCTCACATTCATTAGTCGGGTCTCTACCCCCAAGTAGCTTGGCAAAAGAAACCTTAGAGTTCACAATTTTAGCGGATCCTCTTCTTGGTTTAGGTGTATCATCAGGGTCCCTGGGTTTCATATATCTCGCTTTAAGATTTTTATAAATTTGGCAGCCTTTGTAGTTGGCTGGATGGCCTTCCAGGCATAGGGCACAGACTGCTGGTTCTGTAATTGGTTTATTACACTCGCCAGACTTGTGTGTTTTACCACATTTCACGCAGCGTGGCAAGTGGTGGCAATAAGACTTGGTGTGGCCATATGCTTGGCAATTATGGCACTGGATGAACTCTCTTTATGGGTACGGTTTTTCGACCTTTACGCTGGTGTAGAAAATTCTATTCACATCGTATATTTTTTCGATCCCAGGCGATGGCTCTAGATCGACGAAAAATAAGGGCAATGGGATTTTATTCCTTACACCTGCTTGTTCTTTATTTTCTTTTAATACATTGGTTATCTGACGTATTTTGAACCCTAACGCCGTTAACTCTTCTTTAATCACTTCTATTGGGGTTGAGGAGTGTAAATTTCTTATTACAACTCGTAGTGCTCTTTCCTGTTTCAACTGGTATGTGTGAAAGTCCGCATTTGTGTCTGTTAAATATTTTACGATTTTTCGGTACGCTTCAGGTGTGGCCGGTATTATTTTTGTATCATTTATTCTGTTTAGGCATGTATAGCTACCTGGGCAGATTTTATTAATTTGAGTACACAACAACTGGAAATTTCTCAAATTTTTGACAAAGATAGGAGGTGGGCGTGGTTCTCGAGGTATAGGTGCATCTTCCATTTCTTCCCTGTCATTTTCAAGCACCTGGTATGGATTAGGTGTAAAAAATGGAGATTCCATTTCTTGTGAAGACGTACTTGGCAGTGGTTGAGACACAGATACTTGAGTGTTCGCTGGAGGAGTTGCGGGGGGTGTTAATCGCTTACTACGACGTGTTTTCTGTTTAGGCGGTGAATTACGTGGGGTAGAGCCAACTGAATGGGACCTCTTAGTTGACATTACTTGGTGGTAATATCGCATATAAAAAAAAAAAAGAAAGGGGGAAAAAAATAAATAAATAAATAAAACTACGTCTGCGTGTTATTACAATGGATGAACCGGCGACTGTGAACCAGTCAGTTACGTGGCGAGGCCACAACTGGAGTGGGGAGCCGTCAGCTGTTATGGCTATAGAGATTAAGCCTATAGACGCTAAACCACTAAATTCACTGTCTGTAATAGTACACAGTAAATAACAACTCTACTCACTGTGGTGTTAGTCCATTGTTGTTGTTTTGATGTCAGCTTAACTATTTTTTTTTTAAAAAAAGTAAAACTGAGCACTTATTCTACTAAAAAATAGTAAAAATGTGGGACACGACGTGAAATGTGGGTATTCAAATCAAGTTCATGCGCAGAACTGGGGATTTTACTATTGTAATTTTTGTAACTATTGACATATTTGATATTATTAAATGGGAACGGAAATTGAATAAATGCAATTTCTTTCATCCTCATTGTAATTAGTTTAATAATATTTCAAATTTTAAAGAAATCAATTATTATTTACAGTTTGTTTTACTAATGTAAGCTATCAACGCTATTTTGCTAATTGACTATCGATTTATTATTATCTATATTTTTGGTAGATCATTAAAAAAATATCAAAGTTTTAAGAAATCATTGTTCAGGTTATTCATTTTATTTATTTCATTTTCATCACATAACTAATAGTTGAAAGTTATTGTAGTAGAATTTTAGTAAATAGTAAGTAAATTCAGTGAACGCAATAAATATTTCCTATAGAAAAAAAATAATATGAAATACCTTAATTGTTTCCTTCAGTATGAAAGCGATGTGCAATTCATTCATTTTCTTGGCTTGTCTATGAAGAGCGCGTATCAAATCGATAACGGGCCCACCTTCACATAGCTACAAATTAATAAATAAATAAATACAATTAGTAATAAGCATTATAAAATACTCATTTGAATATTAAAATATAACAGAAATTGTTTGTTACACAAATTCGTTCAGTAAAAATACATTGACATCCACGCTACAAAAGCCAGTGACAATTTCATTAGAAAACTTGTTTTGAACTTTTATGGTCAGAGGCTCTCCCATTTTCAGTAATTTAAAATATTACTCATTTCTTCTTAATCATGCAATAAAAATTGAACAGATAATTTTCTAGAAAAAAAAAAAAAATACGCTTTTGTTTTCTATAATATTTTAGGTTTTTAATCTTAAATGCTTTTGTAACTTGACTGTCGACATGATCGTTATTTTACATTACATTTTTATAGCTAGAATGATTAATGATGTCTTGAAGAAAATGAACTAAGTAAATTGACAAATAAAGGTAACATCTATGGTATATGTTATATTTTCTTAAGTAGTAATTTGATTAAACTTTATATATATATATATATATATATATATATATATATATATATATATATATATATATATATATATATATATATATATATGTATATCGCTACTGTTAGTGCAAAAGATCGTATGTCAAAATTGAGTTTTTTTACTGAATATCATAAAAACCGATGATTTCTTTATGATTTATTAGAATAATTTCATATACTACTTTCCTCTTTAGCAGACTACTTACAGCAATTTCAGCCTACAAAATACCACCTTTAGCGCAAAGAGAATAAACATGTAAATTGTTACATACAACCTTTTACATTAAAAGTAGCGATATATATATATATATATATATATATATATATATATATATATATATATATATATATATACACACACATAATAGTAGTAAGATTGAATTCATTTTCGATATCTCTGAGCATCTTGACTCGACTAAATCTTAAGTGCTCAAATGAGTTAAATCCTCAATTGGGAAAATGGCTTCTTGAGAAGAACAAACGTCCAATCATCGAAGACATTTTGATCCCGTTACTTACCAATTTCTGGTGCATGACGAAGACTAGAATACTTGCAAGAGGGAAGGACCCTTCAATTTTTCTCGACTGATGAGTCTCTTTGCATAATGCTGGGTTATTTGTTTCAACTCTGTTATTTCGGACTGCCTACCAGGTTGTATAAGGTGTAATAAGTGTTTTTTAAACCCGAATTAATATTAATTTGTTATTTTTCAGAAAGTTATCTATATCAATTAAAAATATTCATAACTTATTCATTGTTTGATTAAGAAAAGGTAACTGTTTTTTATAGATTAGCTCTAACTGAAGTTCATTTTTTTTTTTAATCACACTTTAATTTATTTATAAATTCAAGATAAATGACTATATTTACCTCCATTACAAACCACACATAATTTTTATTTCCTTCCGAGTGCTTGTATACTCCGTAGAAGTCTGGAAGATTGGGATGGCTTGAAAGATCTCGAAGGATTTTATATTCTTCTTCGACGGATGATTTATTCTCATTAGTGACTTTCTGGACTTTGATTGCAACCTTGTGCCCTGTTTTTAAATAAAATCAAAATATTGAATTCAAATTTTTGACAGATGAACAGATCCCCCATTTAAATGTTTTGGAAGATATATTTAATTGTTGAAAAAAATGTTTATTTTAACATTTATAATATTTATATTATTAGGTTGAATAACTTATTGAAATCGTAAAATTAGTTTAGGAAAGCAATTCTTTTTCAGAGTTATCAAATACTTGTCTTGCTGGTGATTTTAGAACTTGTATTACCCATTGAATTATTTAAAAGTATTTCCTTATCAACTAAAACAATTCAAAGTTTTTTTTTATTTATTCATGATATTTACAACTGTATTAAAAAATTAAATACATTAAGTAAATTTGATAACAGAAAATAAAAACATGAAATGACTTGTTGAGAAACTACCCACTGGTAGCACTCTAAAAACAAAATGTATTTACAATAAGAGATCTCGAGGCCATCTTCTTTTCAGACGCCTCGGAGGGTTATCAGGAATAGAAGAGGAAGCAAGGTTAGAGACGAGAGGATTCGGATGGTTCTGAAGTTTATTATGGAAGGATTGGTATCTGGATTGGGCCAAATCGGAAACATAAGGAACATTAAGGTCATTATGGATTATTTTATTGGTGACAAAGTAAGGAGCATTGAGGATTTTCCGAAGGATTTTGGATTGTAAGGATTGGATACGAGAGGAATTCGATGGCTTAGTGGAGCCCCAAAGCTCAACTCCGTAAGTCCAAATAGGTCTTATTGTAGTAATGTATATAAGTCTTTTGTAATTAACTGGAAGCTTAGAGCGTTTGTCTAGTAAGTGTTGGAGTAGTCGGAAACGTCCAGCGGTTTCTTGTCGTTTCAGTCTGGTATGAGGATTCCAAGTTAGACGTTTGTCCAAGTGAAGTCCAAGGTATCGGATTTGTTCAACAGGGATAAGTGTGGTATTATTAAAGGATACTGTGGGACATGAGGTCATAGGTTTACATCGAAGGGTAAAGGTGATTTGATGGAATTTGTTAGAATTTATTTTAATCCTCCAGTTTTGACACCATTCTTCAAGGCTTGTGATGTGCGATTGAAGAGTTTGGGATGCAATGGTTGGGTCATTATTAACGGATAGGACACATGTATCATCGGCATACGTGGTAATAACAGTGTTAGGATGGGTTGGGCTGTATAAACTAAATTAAAAGTAATTTTGATTTTGTCATTCTCCATTATTTTCTACGATTACCACTACAATATTTATATGGTAAATATTGATTTTTTAAAATCTTTAACTTTTCTTTTTTTTTTATTAATTTTAACCTCCTCTGTTTAGCCTATACATGGTTTTCCTGGTCCAGAGGAGTGGGTGAGGGAATCATGCCAGTGTTAAAAGTCCCCCGGCCTGGGATTTGAACTTGTAATCTACAGTTTATGAAGATTGGGGATTGCGGGATAACATGTATTTTACACATGCGTTAGCTCCCAAGTCGCTCCCAAGATCTTTATCTTTCGAAAGTTTTATTATATTATACAGTCCGGTAAGCAGAGGGAAATATTTAAAAGTTTGATAGTAGACGCCAAGAGCTAGAAACAAGTTCATATAAACAATTTCCCAATTTCAGTAGAAAAGTAGGAAATTTAAGATTTGTGTTTCTTTAAGCAAGTCACGTTTTTTGTTGAATAGGATTCAACAACTAAAAAAAATTTATTAAGACAATTAAACATTATTCCGTAATAAACTGGACAAAATTTCCTTTAAACGGAAGTAGTGTTTGTCATTGTTAAAACTATTTAATGTGGACTATTGAACGGACAAACACAGCTAAGTTCTGTTTAAAAAAAAAATTCATTAATTATTTGCTATTTTTGTTTTATCATCATTTAAGAATACCTTTTTAATTTACCCCACTTTTAGGAAAACTTCCTCCTTGAATAAGCTTTTAGACCATATTAATTAAGTTGAAGTTTATCAGAAAACTTTTTGAGGCTCACCCACTAGCGGATCCAGGATTTAATTTTGGGGTGTGGGCTTCAGCCCGAAAGATTATTTTTTTCATATAAGTATAAAAATAATTAATTAAAAAAAAGAAAGAAAGAAATTAACTACCTATACGAAATGATGTTTAAGTGGTTCTTCAAGTCTTATTAAATGTAATTAAACGAACAAGAATACTCCAAAAAATAGTTTTTAGTATTTTTTTCTGTAAAACATGGTTATATTTCACCATTTTGGGGGGGGGGGAGGCTTCAGCCCGAAAGTCCCTCCCCCTCCTCCCCCCCCGCACCACCGTAGATCCGCCTGTGGGCTCACCTCAAGTAGTGTAAAGAAATGATTTTCTAATCAGTCACCTAAAAGTACCCGTATTATCAGAAAAAATGACTACAATTTTACTGTTGGAATGCTTTTATTTATTGTTTTTCCATGTTACGAGATGTATTGTAATAAACATAATTGCCGAAAAACACATTTCTTAAATCTCCTACTTTTCTACTGGAAATTGGGCAATTGTTTGTATGAGTTTTTTTGTAGATCTTAATGTCTACTACCGACTTTTTAAATATCCCCTCTGCTTACGGGACACCTTGTTTATACCTATATTACTACTCTTATTTCCGGCATTCTGCTTTCAAAGCGAACAGACATTTTTTAAGTACATTTTATTCTTTGTAATAAACAAAATTAAAAGTACTTTATAGTAATAAAAATTTATATAGACCCACTAGTCTCCGATGCACCATTTCTCGGAATCGTGCAAAATCCAGAATAAAATTTACTTTTCTTCTTCTTTTTCTTTAAAACTAATATGTTACATAATTAGTTACATAGTAGTAGAACTCATTCTACGACGGACTTTAGAGGTCAATTTTTATAGAAGTTTTTGTTTTAAGAACTCAAGAACTTTACTGTCATCTGTCACATGACTAATATCAGGTGCTCGGATGGGTGAATCCAAAAATCACGTAGAAAGTATATTTTCGAATACGATAAAGCTAAATAATTTTATGAATTCTGAGCGTAATTTGAATCATTTTTATTTTTGAAGAAATATTAGCGTTGAGATCCACTGAATACTTCAATCTCTAATCTTATACTACGAATGACTTTCTTATAGTTCATTATTTAAGATTAAATTCTAAATACATAACTATTAAATAATAATTTAAAAAGCCAAGAAAAATAAACTATACTTCATTTTGGGACTTATACATTAACCCTAAGATTATCTTAGAAATAGCTTTGAATGGGTTGTTTTATTTGTTACTGTCTTTCATAAATGCAAAAAAAAAAAATATATATATTACAAAAATCTATTCGATAAAAGAAATTTTCTTATTAAATTAAATACCAATTTAGCATTTTAAAGCTTTTTATTTTTTCTTTTTTAATTATGTTGTATGTATACAGCTACCTAGTTATATATTTACCTAATTATCTGGCAGCTGATACCAAAAATAAAAAAAAATATTCAGTTTACCTGAATTTTTGTCAGTAGCTGCATAGACTTTAGCATTTACTCCTGCTCCTAAAATTTCTTGAAGTTCATATTTTTCACCAGGATCTTCTAATTTATCTAAGTCTAGGCCTTCGTTGCCTAGACCGCGCTCCATGTTTCTAATAAGTTCTGTCCTGAAATAGTTTAACAATAATCATATAGTAATTCCTAAATGTCTTGAATGATTTACAGGTTGTAGTACGGGAAAATGTGTAATTCTAAGAAAGAAAACTGGAAACCAAAAGTACAAAAGCGATCGCTTTGGACGATAATGGAGTATCTTCAATTGGTAATCATTAAACTCCAAATACAACCATAAATATGCGGAAAATGCGGGAAATGGACATCAAGTTCACTTAAACCTTCCACTCTGATTTTGTAACTTTTAACTACCTGAGATATACAGCATTTTGTTGAGTAGAGTAATATCGTATTTAACAGATATTTTACATTAGAGAAAGAATAACGCCCCAAAATTTTGGAGAATAAACTGATATAGTATTCTCGTTAAAGAAAGAAAAATTGTCGGCTATTAATCGATCAAGCAAAAATCCTTACAAAATAATATAAGATTTTAAACATTTGTTAAATAGGAGATTATAAAAGGCAATTGATTAGTAAAGAGGTACGAAAGATATAAAATCAAAACGTCTGTCTTGGATAGTCAGTATAATTTCCTTATCATTACAATGATTTGAGAATAAAATCTACGGGCCGGGCCGACCGTTTTTGAAATATAGGTAACGAAAAATACATATGCGCATGCGTACTCGGAAGTAGGAAATGGAATTTATTAAAATTGATACTATACCATTTTTACACTAGTTCCCGAAATTTGATATTATCAATATCGAAAGAGCCTTTTTGGGGCATAGGCGTGCTTAGGCATTTCTTTTGAGACAATAAGGGCCAAACTACTAAGGGATACCTTACTCTATATATATATCAGAAGGACGATTTCCCTCAGCTATAAGCAAGGACAACTACCCGTACAACGAAGCTTTCGTTTACGGATGGAAGGAATTATTGGGGGTTGTTCATTTCAATCTCCAATAATCAAGAAGATGGAAGAACGAAGAAAGAGAAGAAGTATTGTGCTGCTTTTTCCAAAAATCTGTAGTGCCGAGAGGCAAGAAAAAGATGATAATAAAATTTAAAAAATAGGCATGCTAAGAAAAATATACTTTCGAACCATTTAGCAAATATAGTGGATGTGTTTTGAAAAAATTCATAAGATACCATTTACAAACCAATCCGCATAATATTTGAAAATTTGATTAGTCAAGTCGGATTGGCACTAATACATGCAATGCCGGAAATGTATTTTAACTAAAGACTGTCAGACAAAAAACTGAATTTTCTTTTTGATATATTAAATTTTTATTAAATAACGAAATTTCCGATTCTGAGGACAAACATTTTTTTTACTTTCTACTCTATACAATGCTGCTCTATCTCCCGTAGTAAGGTAGAAAAATTTGAAGAGTGTACGATGTGACGTGGCCTGTGAAATTAATTGTTCATAAATAGAAAAAAAAAATTGACCAAAATTAGATTATAGAAATATATTGTATAAGTGGAAAATAGAATAAACTCATTTTGTATTTCATTGAAATAATAAAAACAAGAGATGTATATTAGACATAAATTTTGCACAAATGTTTTAAATATGATACAATAATAACACACTGAAAATCACTAACGAAATATTACCAAATGAAACCGTGTATCAAAATGAACCTTTGTACTAAACAATGGAAAGTTGGTCGTTTAATTCATAATGGTCATAGGAAGAGATGAACAAAGTTTGCAATGATCAAAATTAAATTTACAACCAATTTTACTTTATGAATTTCTATAGAATGAAGTTATGTATATTAACTGTTCCGTGTTTGTGAAAAAAATCTTTTCGGCCATTCTGCCTTTTAAACGCTTAATACCTTTTTCATATGAAATATAAGATGAGTTTTTTCAGACCATATTATTTCAATTATTATACTACGGATATGCAGTAGAAAAAAAATTAAGAGGTTATATGTTTATGATATTTTTTATTGCTATTTTAATGTGCAGTCTCTTTTGAATTTTGAAAATCATAATGGATAAATAGTAATTTTTTTATATTTATGACATTTTAATATTTTTGTTAACTAATTTGTACCATATTAAAGTTAATTTTTTTTTTAATGGAAAATAAATTCTTATTGCTTAGTATGCCACTTATGTAGGCAACTAGGGACGTCTTAACATTACAAACTATGAGGGTGAGATATACGTACCCAGAAATTTATGCAGAGAAGTGTTATAGCATAGAGTGAAGACAGGAATGAGACATGAAGCCCGATGAGCTGTTTAAATCGAGTTAGTGCGGCTAACAAGGTTAAAGAAGCCATACCCTCTTAGATTTAATACCAATTAACGTCTGGCCTCCGAGGCTTGCAACCTGGTCTCCCGAACGAGATCATAAAAGTATAATTGACAGTTTTGAGGGTTTGTGCCTCCAATAGCCTCCATAGCTCTGTGATGATAGCCGCGATGGACTGGGCTAGCCGCCCAAAAAGAGGAAACCCTGAGGATACGTTCCTCAGCCTCCTGGTCTTGAGGAGTTGTCTTTACTTTTTTACAAAATATAAATGCTCTTATAGCAAGATGAATTTTGTAGGTGAGCTATTATTACTTTAAAGTAAAAACCTATTAAAACCTTAATTACGTTTTCACTCTTTAGAGGATTGAGGTAGTAAAGCCAACGGAGATGTGGCTATTGCCTGGTTTCAGGAACGCTTGGTAAACAGCCATAATAAAAATAGAAACAGTTTTTTTATCCAAACAGTTGAAATTCTTTTTTTATTTAAACATATTAAACTATCCCATTTATTAACAAAATATACATCGTGGCCTAGATATGAAAAGGTCCTTCATAGCTTCAAAGTTACAATTTATTATACCATAGATATTTTGTTACTTAGACTCACAAGTTTGTTTGTACCATTCTTTGAAACTGTGAATTGGATTTTACATTCATCGATGAATTAATCACTTCTTAATATAATTTTGAATATTAAACTTTTGCTGATAAAACTTCGTTGTTCCAGAATGCATTTTCGTAGTGAGAGTAGATCCTAAGTACAGATAGCAGCACTCTAAAATTTGAGGTTTTACGTTTCATGGAGAGTAGGAAGAATCGAAAAGCCGAATTAAATAAAAATATTCCGTACTATAATAAAGTATAAAGAGTATTTATTGCAGAAGCAATTCTCAACTGTTAAATTATTGCCCATGTTGTTATAATTAGTGTTGCCCAGAATCGGTCTTGGCCTTGCAGTTTGCCAGACCAAGACCAAGACCGCCTGACTGTCGCAAGACCAAGATTGATAAAAAAATATATTTATGAATAAAAATTAGGGTAAAATAATTCATAATACTAAATTACTTATAATACGTAAATAATTGGTATAATAAATATACTTTTGCATTTAACTATTCTAATTTTTCATTCGCGCTTAGTTAGGTTTCGCCTATATGAAAAATTACAATAATATCTCTATAGTAATAGGCTTATAGGTAACTGCAGGACTGTTGTGCAAGACCAAGACTGAGTGCGTAATACCAAGACTGGTTTAGGTCTCGCATTTGGGCAACACAAGTTATAATTAAAGAAAAAAAGGAAAATGACAGGAATATGTTTTTTTACAGAAACAACATCAGAGTAAAATTTTCAAAAACAATTATTCTGATCATCCAATAATATATCGATTGCTAAAAACAACATAAATAACGAAATATTTGTTTGTTTACATTATACATGTTTTCATAGTTTTAGTGTAATATTCTTTTTTCATTTTTTTTTTTTTGAATTATGAAAATATCACATATGTCGTTTCTGAAACAATCGATTCAAATCTATATATTTAACTTTATTTCTATAACCCTGTCAGTACTGACAATTAGTGAGTCTGCAGTCGGGAATAATACTGGTAGTGGCTTGATCGGCATGAGAGAAAGGAGTTCCTAGCGGCATCCCTTCTTAACTTGATTGTAGTATATTTTAAAGTGAGGAAATATCTCATATCTCTTCTTTTAAGCATCCGGAGCGTATTTTCGGACATGTTAATCTTTGTCTTGTATTACTGTGGTAGTTAACTGTTGTCATGTTTAGATCTTTATATAAAGTAATGTTTGTGACATACCATGGAGCTTTAGTTGTAGTCCTAAAAGTTTTTGACTGAAAGTTTTGCGGTTTTCATATATGGGTCGTTTTGGCTGTTTCGTGTATTTGTGAAGCGTAGCCATATAGGCTTTAGTAGATATATATATATATATATATAAATATATTACATACAAATAACATATCTTTAATAATAATATAAATGGTATAAATAAAAAATAAATTTTAAATAATTTTAAACAAATATGTGTAAATATAGAAAAAAATTGTAACAATTATCAATAACATATGATGTTCTAACAGTGATAGTAATGTCTCTGAAGATGGACAAAGAGTCCGAAACGTCGGACAGATTATATTGACATATTTGCGGAAGAAAAAAGTTTCATGCTTTAATAGTATAATAGTATAATTTCATATTTAACTCTCATTAAAATAACTAAAAATCATGTACAGCTACATAGTGTAGCAGTGCGAATCTTTTCAAACCTGTTACATTCAAACGTTGCCTGTAATTAGTGTTGCCCAAATGCGAGACCGAAACGAGTCTTGCAAACTCAGCATTAGTCTAGGTCTTGGTCTTGCGCAAGAGTCTCGCAAGTCTTGCAGTTACATATTAACTTATTACTACAGAAATATTATTGTAATTTTTTAAACAGGAAAAACCTAACTAAACCCGAATGAAAAATTAGAAGAATTAAATGCAGAAGTATATTGGTTATACCAATTCTTTACACAGAGTAACTATAATTGTCAAGTATTTTGCCTTAATTTTAATTCAAAAATCGATTTCTTTTTTACCAGTCACGGTCTTGGTCTTTCGCTTTGCAGGACCAAGACTGATTTTGGGCAACACTACCTGTAATGAGAGCCATCTGCTGATATCTTTATTTTTCAACTTATTCAACAATTCACTAAAATTCATTTGGAACATAGATAACTTTGTTGTA